CATCAGCGGTTACATACTCGCCGTGGTCGTCTACGTGAACGCCACCGGCAACTGGGACAAGGACGATGATTTGGGTACGTGCGGCGATGCAGCAGTCGACGCTCGGCTCGTCAGCTCGAAATCGGCACGAGTCGACCGGTCAACGTCTCGAGGAACTCGGTCCTTCCTTGCGTCCCTCGATCGTTCGAGTTTCTTGGTTATTCTAGCGATACAGCAGTTGACGCTCGGGTCAGCTCGAAATCGGCACGACTGGACGTTTCGTCTCTCGTTCGAGTTTGTTGGTTATCGCAGGCATCGCGTACGTCGTCGCACGCGGAGTTTGAATGGTATCGAACAGGTTCGGGTAAAATAGGAACCGTTGCACCGGAACGATTATGTGGGCGACGTTGAACGGGGCTTGTGCTGTTTTCGAATCGATGGCTGCGATTGTAGGTTGATCCTGGGCTGTAGGATTTACGATGCGTTCGCTACAGGATATTTACGAGGAGCTAGGCTGCTTTCAGGTGTTTCTGTTTAACAGCTTACCTATTTCCCGTTATGGCGCTTTTCGCGAGTAACTCGGGAAAGTATTTCGCGCAGGAACCAGAATTATCGTGTTTCGATTGAATTTTATATCTTGCTCTTTATACTTTATCTTCATCGAGAGTGATCTCTCGAGTGCAAAGGGATAGCCGCCCTGTTTCCGAGGTTAGTGGCATGAGTGCGCCATGGTCGGACACGTGTCTCCTGGACAAAGGAACCGTTTGAGCGTTGCTATTCGGCTCAACTGTTGAACGGACTTTATGTTTTATCCTTTGTACAATGTAGTTACAATCGATTCCTCGATAGCTAGACGTGCAACGGACACTTTCGATTCTTACGACACAGTGGAAATTAAATCGCAGAGTTGAACGAGATCGGATAGAAATTTAGTGAACACGATGAAATAGTTAATCGAATAAATTAATTCAATGAATAAACAACAATTGAAGGAAGTTATAATGTCGTTTCAAGTAGATTTCAAACGTTGGTCAGACTTGATCAAATACGGACAGTGCGTAATAGAAGCTAATCCTTGGACAGCCACTTGGCGTGCGTTGGTCTGAGCAACGCCGGCCTTATCTACTTAGGGGAAAGCGAGCACTGGCCTCGCCGGGGGGATTAATTGTTTGTTGTTAAGTATTTCGTGTTTCTTGAGGATCGCACACGTGCCAGACAAACGAGCTGCCCTCTCAGTTTAGGGCAGATACGGACCCGCACGAAGCACAGATAGAATTCGCAGTAGAATTGAACGTTAACGCACGCGTATTAGCTGCTAAGTAGTTTGTACACGCAGCGGTCGGCCACCGTGTGCAATCTGGTTTCGAATGACAGCAATTTTTCGTCCACTTATACATTCACTCTCTTGCTAACTTGTTTCTTGTATCGAAAGAATCGAATTCTGTTAGTACTAAATACAGAACAGCAAAGAATCTTGACTGTTAAACGCTAAAAATTCTGACAACAGATTATTTCCAGTTTCTTCAAGATCTTTTCGAATATTGGATCCTCTTAAGATATCAGTAATTAGAAACAAATCGGAACCGGTGATTTTAACTGACACGGTAGTTCTAATTAATTTCTGTTTTATTGAGAAATCTGTCTCGATCGTACGAGAGTTTTCGCGAGCGTTCATTGGACAGTGAACGCGAACCAGCTGATCCATGCGGGTAATTTTGATATTTATTGGGAATAAGTTAGCCAGTCCCGAGCGGCCGCGTCTGACCAAGCGCATAGCCTATCCACTCGAATAACTATAAATCTATGTGGGTCAAGGGATAATTAGTAATCGGCGAACGACCGGGCGCAGCATTCTGGGTATTCCTTACAAATTGTTACCCAGATTCCTCGGAGCCCCTTTCGGAAACGCTGGAACGATGTCTGATCGGGCGCGTTCGGTTTCCACTTAAACGGACGACGTCTTGGGATGTTCGGCGATCCAGATGCGTTTCATGCCGCCGATCGATCGGAACTCGTTCATGATTCCTTACGATTCTCGAATCATTCTCGACGATTGCGACACAGGGATTTCCAAGCTGGTCGCGCAATCCGAATAATCGCGAAATTACTGCGATTCCGACAAGTAAACGAATCAACGTCGAATCGGTCGTTGCTCCGTCTCGGTGATTCTGAAATCGTTACGATCACGATTGTGAACTGGAACTGTCGGAATTGGTCGGTTCCGACTTAACCCTTTCGGCCCCGGTGGCAATCGCCATCATCGAATTCAGAGGTCCGCGCGATACCTGTGCGACATCAGATTTGACGACGTTGGACACTGGCCGATACATAAAGGTCACGAACAACGTAAATTAGAATCGTGCGGAGGACGTTCACGAATTCAACGTGAAAAATGCAATGCTCTCTGCCTGACGAAACAAAGGAATTGCTTCGAAACTTTCCATTGTGAATAAATAAGATGTCATAAAAGTTTATGTTCTTTATTCACCTCTGAAGGCTGCTGGCAATTGCCACAGCTTCCTAGTTTCTTAGTTTATGGTCGAAGAAACTCCAAATTTCGTTTTAGTGGTATTTACGTGCTTATCGGTAATAAACAATCAGAAGATTTTTCTCTTACGGAAAATGATTCAGGGCTGAAAGGGTTGAAGGATGCGACGTTTAATGGATTAATCCCGAATAACCACGAACTTGCATGTTTCAGTCGCAACGTTCGAAGTCAGCGCCGTTCTCGGAGGTACGGCCAGATTGCCTTGTGACATTGAACCGTCCACGCGAGAGGATCGCGTATACATGGTGCTTTGGTTCCGCGATGACGCGGTGAAACCGATCTACAGGTAAAACGCGGCGAGTCACGGCGTACAATGAATATTGAAACGTACGGTCCGTTCGAGACTTTCACGGCCAGCAACACCATAAGTCTTCGAAGCTTCCAAGTAGAAACCGTGTCCGTTGGAAGAGGTTTCCTTTCGCTATTGCATTCGGCAGCGTCGAGTATCTATGGACTCTTATCCTGCACGATATTAACACATTGAGCGCCGGCCACTTTTAGTCTATCGTTTAATTGCTAATCCTACGTTCATGTAACGTTCTAGATATGTGTAACACAAATTCAAAGTAAAATTTACAAAATCGAATCCCTTATTCTCTTCCATAAGTTAGAAATTTTGGTTCAATCGATGCATAAAAATGTATCATCAATATAATCACCGACGCTCGCGTTTTTAGTAGCTGAAATTTTTGATTATTTCATAGTGCATTTCCATAGGTTTTTCGGGCTTTCATTCCTTTTATTCTCGTAAGTGACTAACAGTCGCGTAGTATGATTCGTTCTAAAACCACGTGCATTCTATAATCTATTTCCAAATCCATAAATATTTCTATTACACTTATATTCGGAATCGATATCGGTTTTCGCTCGAAATTCATCCGTTTGCGTGTGAAATCCATTTTACGAGTCAAGTACTTCCACGTGTATATTCTATTGGAACTCCATCGAATGTTAATTGCTTAATAAACAATTTAATCCGCGAAAGGGTGAATTTCAAGTGCAAGGCCTATGAAACTACAGACGCGCTGTAGGGCTACTAAAATAAAAACTAAGTCCGTAGTCAGGTTAATCAGTTAACCGTGTTCGACGAGTATACGCGTCGTCGTAAAGCTTGATACTAATTCTTTCAATGAATTCTCTATTTTTTCACATAAACGTGTAATTCTTTGTTTCGCTTTGATCTTTCATTAAAATATTAGTCACAGTTAACCCCTTGCCTACAACATGATTCAACAAATATACATATATATTAGTTCATTCGAATTCAAAGTAAATATTATTCCTCTATAACTATTACACTTAAAAGGAAATATAGGCATAACATATGCTTCGAATTCTTCTCTTTTTCCAGTAAATCATTAATGACAAAGTAACCGTATCGATCAGAGTTGAGAAAGAAATCATAGGCCAAGGGTTAACTGGTTAAATATATTTATCAACTCTCCTCCTCAACTGCTTTTCCAAAAAGGAAAACTCTTCGGTCTGTGCGCGACCCAGGTCATGACCCTCGGTCATAAATTCGTCAATGGGCCTGGGCTCTCAGGCCCCCGAGCATCGACGAGCAAAACAGCGAATTTACAACTCGTAACGGTGAAACGTGTTTCCAGCTTCGACGTGCGGGGCAGGCCTTTCAACAAAGCCCTGAACGCGTCGGACAGCAACGCGGTCGGGCCGAGGGCTTACTTCGAGACGATCACCGAGCCGGCCGCGCTCTCCCTCGACGCGGTCCAGCTGGACGACGAGGGGATCTACCGGTGCAGGGTCGACTTCAAGAATTCGCCGACGAAGAACTTTCAAGTTAATCTCACCGTGATCGGTAAGAAAGTTCCACCGGGGGAGTCCCCTTTCCCGGCGGCGCCCTAACGCTCCCGCGAAATTGATTTCCAGTCCCGCCGCACCAGCTCCTGATTTACGACAGCTCCGGGGTGGAAGTGGAGAGCACCGCTGGACCGTTCCAAGTCGGCGTCGAGTTCGAGCTGTCCTGCGAAGTCAGAGGAGGTGATCTTGATCTTTTCTACAGTTCGACGATTCTTGAGGAACGATGGAACTCTGGTTCTTGACACTAGGCTTACGGAGAGCGTCAATTTGACGCATACTGAATTTTATAAGCATCACTTGGCAAACGTTTATGTCGCTTTTGGTTGATCTAATTAATCTAATTAATTTCCAAGATCTAAATGGTCGAACATCTGTTTTTCTGGGAACAATAGAATAAACCGGACAATAAACGTCCGTGAACCTAGCGTTAACGAAACCTTGTAAATGCAGGACGAGCCTGGGAATGAGAAACCCTTGTTTCTCGACAATGCTCCTTTTTGGAGAATGAGCAAGTTTGCAAGTACTGTAATAAGATACACGATGCTGTAATAATGAAATACACGTTGTTTGGAGATTATGATTCAAAAGAAATAGAGAAAAGTTGAGAGAAAGGATTCCAAGTGCCTTATTACAGTTACAAACTTAAAACTCTTTTCTAAAACGGAGGACCATTTATGGCGAGACAATAGTGCCTTTATGGCGAAGGCTAATTAAATATATTTTACTACAATAGGTAGTTATCACATGCGTATTAATGTTACGTGGCTATTGACTGTCGTGACATGACCTTTCTTTTCCTTGATTCCAGGCAAGCCGACGCCGGTGGTCACTTGGATGGTGAACGAGAAGGAAGTGGACAGCAGGCTGGAGGAAACCGGGCGCAACATAGTGGTCAGCAAGTTGAGGATACCTCAGTTGAGGAGGGAGCACAGGAACACCACGTACAAATGCCGGGCTTCGAACACGAACCTCATTCCTCCGTTGGAGAAAACGGTCCTGCTGGATGTTTATCGTGAGTGAAGAATAAACTACTTGTTCAGCAGTGAGATGATTCCTTTTAACCCTTTGCGGACAAGATATAGACAACATTGTTTGAAACTAATCTAATGATTCACAGATAAATTAAGCAACGAAGCTATTTTATTCAAATATTTCAATACAAGGTTTAATTTAGAGTACTAAATATTCAACTTCATAGTTTCCCTGCGTCAAATCAAGTGGTGACTGAGGGTTAATGCTTATTCTTTCTGACCCCAGTGAAACCGTTGTCGGTGAAGATCCTGTCGAAGCCGACGGTGCTCGAGACGGAGAAGGACTACTCGATCGCCTGCGAGACCATCGGGTCGCATCCCCGAGCCAGGATCACCTGGATGGAGGGGAATAGTATTTACCACAGTGGCAAGGTAAACACCGTTATCGATCGTCGCGAGCGAAAACGTATCACGCGAGCCGCTCGTAGGTCGAACTGATCCTCCTCCTGACTCGTCGCTAGACGAACGAAGACGAGTTGGATTAATTTGTCGAACGAATCGCTCGCGTCGAGACACTTCGAGTAATTCTCTGTCCGCGCAGGTGCTGGACGGCGGCAACATCTCGGTGGTTCTTAGCACGTTGATATTCTCGCCGGTCCCGGACGACCACGGGAAGATCCTCAAGTGCCGCGGGGAGAACCCGGAGCTGCCGGACGCGTATCTGGAGGACTTCTTTCAGTTGAACGTGGTCTGTGAGTGTCGATCCTGCGAATGACGTGCGAACGAGATCTGTAAATTACAGTCAACACTAGGTTTACATTTATTGTACACTTGATTCTATTATTCCTAAAAGAATTGCTCGTTTATTTAGATTGTGGAAGCTGGAAATTATAGTAGGTATCGGCGTAAACATTTACAAAATAATATTTATAACATCCAATATGCGTCGGTTTCACGCGTTCTGTAAACCTAGTGTCAACGATATCATCGACGGTTTGCTTGATTTAGCGCGAACGATCTGTGAATGAAAGTCAGCGGTATCATCGACGACTCGCTTGATTTCCAGTCCCGCCGAAAGTGCAGCTGCACCTGGGCAGCACGCTGAACGCGGAGAAGATCAAGGAGGGCGACGACGTCTACTTCGAGTGCAAGGTCAGGGCGAACCCGGAGCACCACAAGATCACATGGAGACATAACGTGAGCGAATATAGAGCGGATACGATATAATCCTGTTTGAAGGACATTGTCCGATGCAACGAACTGTCTGACGCAGGAAGGAGTGCTGACGCAGAACTACTCGGCCGGGGTCATCATGAGCACTCAGAGCCTGGTGCTGCAGAAGATCGGACGCGACAACGCGGGCAACTACACGTGCCGCGCGAGCAACGACCGCGGAGAGACCACTAGCCCCGCCGTCACTCTGCGCGTCCAATGTAAGCGTTAAGAATGCTTTGCTGTTGCAAGTTCGGTCGAACGTGTGCGACGATTCAGTCGGAAGCTAGCGCGGTTGAGTCCAGAGGAAAATTCAGAAAATTCGGAAGTTATATGAACAAGGGGTTTCTCACCTAGGAAGATAACTAAACAATATTATTTATTTCGTTAAGCTTGAGGGAAATCAGAGGATCAAGAAATCGACTTAACCGCAGTGGCTTCTGAGCGACTCATTAATCGAACAGTGATCGAGTGGTTGGTGAGCTAGGTGTCCATTTCAAAGTACTCTGAGGAAAATATTGTCTTAAATTCTCAATGCGAAAAGTTCACTCTGAAATGAACAGTCTAGCGTCTGACCTATTGCAGACGGTAATTATTTAAGCAGACAACGCGACGCATTAACCCTTTGCGTACGAATGTCATTTCGGCGAGCTGAAACGTTGATATTTGGAAGATTGTTATTTAAGCAATTAATGTACAATGTAGCTTCATCCGTCGATGTACGTTTCAAAGAATCTTCGTCGAAGGGTTAAACCTCATAGAGTTTTAGAAACAGCAGACCGTGTTTACTTGATCGTGCGATTTTCCTTGGACAGTTGCCCCAGTGTGCAAAGCGAAAGAAGTGACGATAATCGGCGCCTCGCTGGAGGAGTCCGTGAAGGTGCGCTGCGAGGTGGACGCCGACCCGAACGAGGTGGAGTTCGTCTGGGAGTTCAATAACAGCGGGGAGAACTTCGAGGTCGCGCCGGCGAAGTTCGACGGGAATAACGGGACGCTGAGCGAACTCATTTACACGCCCGTGTCCGAGAGGGACTACGGCGCGCTGACTTGCTGGGGCAGGAACGTCATCGGGAAACAGGAAGCGCCTTGCGTTTATCAAATCATTCCTGCGGGTAAACGAACAACTGATCGATTCAATAATTTAACTACACAACAGCTAACGAATTTATTTTTACGAAGTCCAGCTTCATTGTTACCATTAACGTGTTGTCATTTTTGAGCAGCCTGTGCAGCGAACTGACAAATTCAATAATTCAACTACACAAAAGCTAGCGAATTTATTTCTACAAAGTTCAGCTTCATTGTTATCATTAACGTTTCATTTTTGAACAGCCTGTGCAGCGAAAGATTGTCCTTATAATTTCTGATAGATTTCTGATCGTTTTCTGATCGTTTTCGCAGTGAAACCGAACCCGTTGAACAACTGCACGATAAAGGCGTCGCTGAACCAAAGTTCCGAGATCCTCGAGGTCGAGTGCGTGCCGGGATACGACGGCGGCCTCAGGCAAGAGTTCCGGCTGGAAGCCTACGAGGTGGTCACGGGGAACCTGCGGGTGAACGCGTCCAGCATATCCGCGGATGTCCCCTTGTTCCGCATAGCAGTGGCGGACCTGCTTCCTGCCACCCATTTTTACCTCGCCACGTACGCCGTGAACGCTAAAGGGAAGAGCGAAGTCAGTCTGCTCGAGGACATCATGCTGAGGGACTCTGAGAAGCACATAGGTGACCTTGGTCGTTTAACCTTTCGAAGCTTCCTTCGCTCTGATCGCCGGCGACTCTGAAAATCCATAGTTTCATTGTTTTATTGGTCATAGATACAAAAGTTACACGTTTACAATGACAGCTTTTTAATGGCGTCATTCCCTAGTCCTTCAATGCAAAGTTCCAACTGGATCTGTCTGAAGCTTCTAGAGCCAGAAATACGATTGGTAGATTGCTCGTTCTACGTTTCTAAATTCACAACCCTTTCAGCCCTGAATTATTTTCCCTAAGAGAAAAATCTTCTGATTGTTTATTACCGATAAGCACGTAAATACCACTAAAACGAAATTTGGAGTTTCTTCGACCATAAACTAAGAAACTAGGAAGCTGTGGCAATTGCCAGCAGCCTTCAGAGGTGAATAAAGAACATAAACTTTTATGACATCTTATTTATTCGCAATGGAAAGTTTCGAAGCAATTCCTTTGTTTCGTCAGGCAGAGAGCATTGCATTTTTCGCGTTGAATTCGTGAACGTCCTCCGCACGATTCTAATTTACGTTGTTCGTGACCTTTATGTATCGGCCAGTGTCCAACGTTGTCAAATCTGATGTCGCACAGGTATCGCGCGGACCTCTGAATTCGATGATGGCGATTGCCACCGGGGCCGAAAGGGTTAAGCAGGAACCGACCAATTCCGACAGTTTCAGTTCACAATCGTGGAGATCGTAACGATTTCAGAATCACCGAGACGGAGCAACGACCGATTCGACGTTGTTTCGTTTAGAATTGTCGGGATTGAAAATCCCCGTGTCAGGCGCAGTCTGCTCCGAAGGGAAAGTTGGAGTAAAGAATTGAATCGGAACTGTATTTTCTTGTCTCCAGACAGCGGGATCAGCATGGCGCCGATTTTGCTGCTTCTGGCCGGTTGCCTGATGGCGACCCTCGTCACCGGGCTGTCGGTGATGCTGATGATGTACCGGCGAAGGGGCACCACTTCCCCGGTGCACATCGAGCCGTACATGAAGCAGCCCATAATCACGCCGCCGGACTCGAGGAACAATTCGATGCTGGACGTGACGCACGGCGATCACACCTACTTCGTCGAGTACACGCTGAAGCAGGTGACCGACTACGCGCTCAACAATCAGCCGGACATCATCCAGTCGCCCCAAGGTATGCGCGCTCTTTGAGGTGGCCAGGTTGCCCGACTAATATTCACTAATGCCGACAGTCGTTTCAGACCAGGAAAAGATCAAACGCGAGCCACAACTGTTTCTACCGGTCAGACCGGACACCCTGTTCGCGCCGTACGACATTCACAAGCAGGGGCTTCAGACGAACAGATGCAACGTGAGTTCCATGGTGTTTCAATTCAGGCTTTCGCTCGAACGAGTGATCGGAAAGTGAATTCAACACTTTCGGTTGCGTCTCTCTTCGTTACGCTCGAGATCGTTAACCCTTTGCACTCCGAGCAATTTCTGATGTGACTCGGTAACTCCAAATTGTTTCTATTATGGACTGGTCTATGAGTATTTACGAAATGGTCGCCCATTTATAGAGAAGAAGAGAGTTTACGATGCAGTGTCGCCGCAACGACAGAGTGCAAAGGGGTTCGTTCGTAACGGAACGTTTGTTTAACACTAGGTTTACGGGCATTTATTGTACAGTTTATTCTATTGTTCCCGGGGAAGTTGACATTCGTTCATTTAGATTTTGGAAATTGTAGATGTAGAAATAGGCAATCAGGATTCATATTCTATTCATATTCATATTCATATTCATATAAAATTCAATCTGCGTGAAATTGAGGCGTTCCGTAAACCTAGTGTCAATGTACATTGAGTTCCGCCTGGAGAGAATGTTCTATAGGTTCGACGATTGCCGAAAGTGTTGAACGATAATGTTAATTACACGTCGACTTGGTGTACACGATGCATTTCCGGTTGCAGCTGAACCCATTCTCCGCGAAATCCTGGGAGCCCATTAGCTTCAAAGCCGACCGCAATTTGATGAAGGAGATCATAATCGCCAACTCTATACCTGGTCCAGAAAGTTGCGTGTAAAGAGCCACGCGGAACATAAGAACGAGCAAACATATCAGAAGGACCGATTTCGAAGCCTAAACAATCGTGAATCCGTTGATCGTGGACGAGTTCACGGTGAACGGGGGACGTGAACGAACTGCAACTGGTCCTACCGTCGAGTTTTCTTGTTTAAACGAAACCTCGTGGTTGGCGGAGCTACGGATTACCGGGGACGATCTAGGAATCATCGAGGCGACTAGTTGCATACTAACTAAACGCTACACATGGTGTATTATTCCAAGTTTAATATATTTTGTGTCAAGTCTTAGAACGTTTACTTATTCCACGACAACGGTAGAACTAAGCAACGGAAGTCGGTTATTTCTTTCATTTCATTCGATCTATCTCATCATTACCGAGAGAATCATTTGTATCTTCCGAATAATTGTAAAAGAACAGATTTCCTATTTACCGTAAGAATAGTGGAAGTTCCGGTTTAACCCTTTGCACTCGAAAGTTTCTCACTTGAAATGTTCAATACAATTTTCTAACTAGATGTAGAGGAGATTCTTTAAAATGAATTTATTTATTATTTATTTCTATTTTCTTTCAATATTTCACGTATTGATGCAGTATACAGCTAATGGTAAATACCAAGGTTTATAATTTTGCTGTATCAGATCGTCCGTCTCTCTCCAGTGCAAAGGGTTAATATTGAATTCTAAATTTTACCATTTTCATGGGTCAAACGGCGACCAAAATTGAACAACATATTAGAATAATAGTTATTATATGGAATTCGATCTTGATACGCATTTAAAAGAGCGTGTGTTTCGCGTGCGCGTAACGGAAGGACGTAACGCAAGACTGGCCCTTGCTGCAGAGGTACGCGCGGAAGTAAATGAAATACAGTACGAATACGAGCGCAACGATTGCAACAATCAGGATTATGATACAGATGCGTCGGCGTATTCTCGTTAAACGCTGTAGAAAATTTCCTCGACGAGGCGACGGTGATGTTTTCTGAGGAATGCTGTGCGGCGTCGCGGGCTGCTTGGCCGCGTTCTCATTTAGTTCGTCGAAGAACAAATATTTTGTATGCTTTCGTTCCAACGGGAATAATCCCTCCGATCCTGCCGTCGAGGTCAGCGTGTACTACGGAAAAAGGTTGGTGGTTTAATATGTTAAAGAATTCTTTTTACCCTTTATGGGCCGAATTTTTGTTCATTATTATAACATATTTTGTAACTTTCAAGTTACAATCACGTTAAACTTTCATGCCTGAGCGTATAAAAGTTTAAGATAACCAAAATGAAATAAATCAACAAGATGCCAATATACTGATATGTGAGTTTAAAGTTACATGGGCCTACAGAGGGTTGAAATGATTGAACGTTGCTTGTCGCATGAGTTTTACTTGTCTGTTACGAGCCGTTTGCAGTTGTTCGCGTACCAGCTGAATCAATTTACATTTCACGTGTTTTAGGTTTTCAATGAAGTGATCCTCCTCGTCGTTCGTCCCGTACAGCCCCATGTCCAACCGTTCCTCGCCACACGTGTTCCCATCGCATATCATTGTCCTTTGGTCGTGCACGATTCATCCGTAGGAAAATAAAAGATCAAACGATGTCGGCTGCAAATGAAAAACAAAAATATCACTGTTATCATCCTGTTTTATGTAACCTGAAACTCTAAATTTGAAAGTGGAATAATAATTACTTTGACGCTTGATATCCTTTGCTACGAAAATGCTTGTTAGATGTTTTAATAAGAAAAGCATCATTCAACGTATTCCATCCTATATAGAATACGGTGTGAAAGTATGTGACAGATTGGTTTTGATAATTCTAATGAAATAATGCACGGTTAATTTTAGCAGATCGCGACGAACACCATTTCAACTTATTCCCCTCTATTTCGGTCGACGAAACACGAAGGCTGTCTTCAATATCGGAAATCCAAGTGTCCCGGTTCCAATATTAAAAGAAAAGTACGGCGCAAACCAAAAATTTCCGATGCGAAGAAAATAAAACAAGATACAACGGAGAGAATTGATAATCTCGATTGTCCGTGGCGCAAGAAAAAATAAGAACGATGAAATAAAAATATTTGATTTTTAATTCTACCCCAGTCTTGATATTTCATCGTTATATACATCAGTTTTTACAGGAAAAAAATACAATTACTTAAACTGTTAAGTCCCTGTAATGTGGTGAGAACAGAGACAATATTAAATGCATGCTTAAACCTAAGTTCATATACATTATCTTATAGAATAATGCGAATCCTCGTTAATTAACTTTTGGCTTCTTTTCTGGTGGTGGTTTCATGTCTTTTTTCTCGACTTTCACTTCTTGCTTAATCTCTATGGCTGGAAATAGAAGAGAAATTTCATTGTCATTAATCCTACCTAATTAATGGATACTTTTAGTTACAAAAAAACATACAAGACTCGATAGGTTGATGAACAGGTTTTGGAACAGGCAATGGAAATTTACGAGTAAGTTCAGCAAGTAACATATCCACTCTTTGACGTTGAAACAGAGAGCTGGGCTCCTCGCGAACAGGTGTTTCTTTCTTTGCTGCCAGTGCTTTGCCATTTTTGAAGTCCCAATAGTAACCTTTACTTGGATGATATCTGGAGCACGAGCTAGCTTCTTCAAAAGCAGACTGTAAATGGTGCACTGTGGATAACTAGAAAATAAATGTATAAATTGAGAATATACTCATCACCAATTCTACTAAGCTTATGCTAACAATAAGCATTTCATAATTGACAAGTGATAATTACCAGTCTAGAGCTCACAACAGATGCTAAATCAGGTGCTTGATACACGACACCTGCAATAATATAATAATCTACAAGCGGTGTTGCTGCAGTAGGTGAATGTCGATGTTGTTTCCTAATAACATACAAAATGGGTTCTTGCACGTGTAAAAGAATATACTCCAATCCTGTCATACTCCTGAAATGAAGCAGTCAATCGTTAGCTCTGTAATTGGATACATTTTTAGTACTTCGATTTAAAAAATACTCACTGCAATTGATCAGGACTTAAGCGTTGCATTTTAACAATTTCATTGTTGCACGTTCTATCGTAAAAAGGATTACTCCTTTCAGAAAAGTAATCCATTATATTATTTGGATTTAACACAGGAATCCATGCACTATCGTGCCAAGAGAGTCCCAAAGGGTTCTCTGTCAGTTCAACAAAACAAGCAAATGAAGGTTAAGTGAAGGAAAAACGACTGCGTCGTGTTAATGCGAATGTTTAACCATAAATAAAATTAGTATAATATTACCTGTAACGGGAGGTCTTCCTGGTAACATTTCAGCTTTAAATAGTGTCAGTACATGAAATATTAAAATATTTTTACTTATACGCCAAGCTAAACTTGGTCGCTAATATTTACGCTCGGCACTTTTTGCTAATGTAATTTAAAATTAATATTAATACTGATAAGTATGAATACATTCCACGTGAATCCCTCAAATATCATTGTTTATTTATAACGCCAACGATACATCTCTGAACGATACAAATAAACTGAACTTCTTCCGTGACAGTCAGTGGCTCTCAATGATTCAAAGGATACGGTATTATTTTTGGGCACCGATAAAACAAAATTATATTTATCGGGTATGAGAAATTATCAGCGCCGATTCCATAAATAAAATATCCGTAAATGCTATTTTATTCTTGAAAAAATAGTTTTTCCAACGACATCATGATTTCCATTTATGATAACGTAACGGTGATTCGTCATGAGTCAATCTAAGTTGTCATTGACGAGCACTGCCGAAATAAAGAATGCAGAACGCTGTTCACATATAGAACAGAGGCTATTAAGAAAAATGGGTCAAATGCAAAAAAAAGGTTCTCGCGTCTAAAAGGGAATGGGTCATGGACAAGTCGAGATAGGATGCATCACACTCGCAAAAGAATCCCTGTACAAAAGTCATACACGTTTTTGACACCCAAAGAGAAAGGAAACGCGAAAGAAACAGAACTTTATTGTTTAACTGTCTGACATAGCGAAGTAAGATCGTCGATTAATAAACATTGAAACATGAAATTCGAGGCATTCTTAATACAATACGGTGGAACAAATTAGTTTATTATGAGTTGAAAGTAACTTAATATTGTTGCCTATCGATTGACGCAGAATCATGACCGACACATGAAAGTTACTTAAAAAATAAATTCTGCAGATGAAAAAAATAGAATGAACAGTCACTTGTAGAAATTTGATAATACATCGATCCTCCACGAGGCTGCACACGATGTTACATTATTGAGATTAATAATGTAACGTATTCTCTTTATTAGATACGAGCAATTCGAGCAGCGTAAGGGTATATACGTTCGCTCGGTGTGTTATGTCCAATAATGTTGTTGGGTGCGGTGAAAATTTTACATAACGGTGGGGATATGAGCAACAGAAATATCGTTTCTAGCTCAAGATGACACTAATCTGAAAGTTATTTCCGCACGAGATACATACAGGTAAAGAAGCATAGTGACCTTTAATTTTCGTGTCAAGTTCTCCACATCTGCAAAAAAAATACGGTAAGGACATCTGCTGCAAAATATTAATTGCACTAATTGGCGCCTGTTAATACATTCTATTTTTCGGTACTTATCAATGGCAGGTTGTCGTACGTACATATCTGTTCGAGACGCGGATAATTGTTTCCCAAAAATAGGCATGTCTCTCGTGAATAAATTTTGTTACTTAATTCATTATAAATTATACATTTTCGTTCGATTCTTCGTTATTCGATTAAAGTTTTTCCAATATCTTCATAATTTATCAGGATTGATAATATCAGAATAATAATTATTTTTCTAAAATAATGAATTATAATTTCGTAATTGCAATCACAAAAATAACTTTTTATGTAACATTACTGTTCAAAATAAAATCGATGTAACAATAGCACAATGAAATATTTCCTAACAGAGTAATATTCTATTTTTTATTTTATATTTGCAGAAAGATTATGACAACAAATGACAAGGAATACTTTATTATCCCTCTTCATCGACGTCCAGACTTAATTCAAGATTGTTGCATATTACTTAATTCTGAATGGCCAAGAAGTGAAACTGCACGGTACATTATATTAATTTCTTTAATAAAAAAAAATATCATTCATAAAATTAATTAATATTTTCATACAAAATAGGTTAAAATGTTTAAATGCATCATGCGATGAATTCCCTACCTGTCTTGTACTTATTGATAAGGAGGACAGAATTCTTGGTCATTGTAAAATATCCTTGATACCCAGATTACGTCATAGTTGTTTTATACAATCAGGTAAACTTAGTTTAAAGAAATATTTAAAGAAAGGAAAGTGAGCAAAGACTAATAATGTTTTTCTCCACATTACAGTTGTAATTGACTTCCAATATAGATCTCAGGGACTTGGATCTAGGTTGCTTCGTGGTGCAGAAGAATATGTTAAAAAAAAAGGAATCAAAAATGTATATTTAATAACCAAAGGCCAAGAAGTTTTTTATCTTAAAAATGGATATAAAACATGCGATCCGTTCAAAGCATATGGAATTAATGATGTTGTATACTCTACTGCAGCATTTACAAAATCTAAATTAAAGGAGAAATCTATACAATGTTCTGGCCCACCACCTCCACCAATGCCAAATTTTCAGATGCCAAAGTTCTTTGATTTCAATGTAATTGTTTCCAGAACACACATGGTAAAAAAATTATAATAGAATATAAATGAAAAGAATTGTTGCATCTAGTAAGATTCCCTTCATATTTCATTACGTAAATATCGCGGAACGCATATTATTTATTTATCTAGCGAATTATTTTTTTAACTGTCCATGTAACATAAATCATTTTTATTTATCAGTGCAGTCACAAAAGTAAATCATATTGTCCATTCCAACAATGCACTGTTTTCAACATTGTACAGTTGTACCGAATATTCTCCTTCCCAGAAATTGGGATTTTCTTCTGTACTTTCACCTTTCATATTTATTTCTACAAAGGAGTAAGAGAAACTTATCGAGGCATATGTAGTTTTTTCATATTTCATGTACATCTATTATCCAAAAACAAAAATAGAACAACTTTTATTTGTATATAATCATACTTCAAGTTCTATTATGAAACGGTTGCAATACCACAAACTTTCTGATAATGTTCTGATTGCTGAAGGCTGTCAATGAGAAAAGCACCTAAATCATGTTTGGAGATAGCACGGCCAGGCGACTCATCGTACTTAACAACATATTTTGAACTTGGTGCATCTGAAAATAAAGTGTACATATAATGATAATAATAATGTCATATAAAGTGGATTCAAATATATTTTTGATGTGATACATACCAGCAATATGTGGTGGTAATACAGCAATCCAATTTAATTTGCTTCCTTTAAGTAGATCAAACATACGCTGATGATCTGCATTTAAATCCTTAAAAATAGCAGGTACTGCTTCTGGTTTATAGTACAAGAATGCTATTAAAAGTAAAACATTATTTAGATATCTAAAAGAAAATACTAGTATACATTTAAACAGAAATTGCTTTAAAGAAAATCAATTACCAGACAAGCAAACAGATACTGTTTTTACATTATGTGCTACCATAGCATTTATTATATTTTTCATGCCCTGCGATAATACAGTGGTTGGACCTGAAACAATTAAATATAAAAATATTAAACATATTAAATCTTATATTACTGGAAACTTTATATCTTATGTAAAATATTTTACTCAAGTCATTTCTTGTGCCAAGCACAACAACCACTCCATCTCTATCAGATACTGCATTTGACACTTGTTCTGCATTAGTAACATCTCCAGTGACAACATGTATTTTTTCTACCAAGTTTGCTGGAATTTTGTTTTTGTCCCTTACAAATGCCCTTACATTTAAACCTAAATTGTGAAATATATAATTAATTACAGACTAAAACGATTTCATAAATTTCATGTACACTTCAGAAGTTTCAAACATTTGAAATACGTGACTCTTTTTATACGCATTAATAAAAAACAAATAAATAAATACCATACCCTTTTGTACAGCATGATTTAAAGCGCATAACCCGGTATTTCCAGTAGCTCCAAATATCACTATTCGGTCCATATTAATGCAATTTTGATATCTGATAAATACTGCGACGTTATCAGAATCGAAATGATATCCTAATCATTCAAACGTTATGCTATGTCATCTTTTCGTACGATTCAAAATTGCAGTTTAAGGGGATTTACAAACAAAGCGACTTCCTATTCGTTTCTGCAAATTCATTGTTCCAACATAACACAGTTAATTAATAATTGATACTTGAAGTCACTAGATTCGCTACTTAGGTTATTCTTAACGCAAGTAATATAACCTATTCCAGTAAAGTTGTATTTATTGAATTTTATTAAAAGTACATTAATTTATAATCAATGCTATAGGCGAAATATTGTTATATCAGTAATACATTTTTAAAATTCATATAATATAAGAGTAAAAAATAATTTAATTATTTTAAGTAATTTATGAACACGGAATTTTATTAATTGTTCTCAGAGTTTAGCTTTAATAAAATTAAGCTTAAGTATGTACAATGGTTGTTCAAGTATTTTAATTTTATTAAATTAATTTAAAAAATTTGTTTTCATAGTATTTAGTTTTATATATAAAAAAAAGGGAATTTAATCGATCATCTTTCGATAAAACTGTATTGATATTGCACAAGCATAAGTAACATCTTTACATCAATTTAAAATTAATAGTTGGTACAAACTTTACATTTCTTAAATCCCTTTTAACACTAGTACAGTCCGAGTACTTGGTCTTTCACAGCTTTAATTGAAAACAGATAATTTCAGTTTGTATTTCTTTTTCATGGAGATAAATAAATTACAATAAATGTATTATGTCTTCACAGCACAGCACCAATTAATTATATTACTTTCTAAATGTTATACAACTAGTTGTTACATTGTTATTGCCACAATCTTTTTTGCCATTGCTTGTTTGATTATGATCCATTGATGATTGAAATATGTTTTATGATCGTCGTGCTAGTTATAAGTAAAAAATTCTATTAAAACCATAAAAAACATATGGTACAAATTTAAATATTTCTATCAAACATAATGGGGTGGAGGCATAGTTAGATCTTGCAATACAGTTAACTGTTCTTCGGTGAAATCTTGTGCATACCCATTTATGCCTCTCCATCCATCGTAATGCGTCCTCTTGAAATCATCCAAGGTCTTCCTAATTGTTGTCTATAAATAAATAAACGTACATTACTCGATAATTCCAACATATTACAAATTTACTGTATGCTCACCGATATAGGCTGTAGATCATTCATGTAAGGACTGAGAAATTCAAAAATCGACGGCACATATTTAGGAATATCATACGGATGAGCTTGAATGAATGCGCACAATCCTAGTACAGCTGCATGACGAATTCTTATAGTGTCAGCTGTTAATTCCTTTCCTGTTGTTTTCTTAGACTGATTCGAGCGTTCTCTTCTATATGATTTAGTTCTTGCTTTCTTCTTAAACTCTTCCTAAAAAATTCAATGTAAACCCATTCCTTAAATTGGTTTCACAGTGCTCGTATGATTACACGTTCGAAGGCTACTTACCAATAATTTCTCTTGATCTGTTATAAATGCACAATGTAACAATCCGCTTAAACATTGACCAGCATTCTTTCTGACTTCAACGCGCTCATCTTCCAACAAATGTAAGACCGTGTCCTTAACGTGATTAACCCAGTCAGAGTTGCTTAAAAATGTGCTCATATTATGGAATATCAATACTTGAAGAAATTGCAAGCATGTGGATCTTGCCCACCACGAGGTATGCTTTGACATCTTTATTACTTCCTCCAAAACTGTTGGCATATCACGCGGTAGAGTAAGTGCCTGTGCAAGCAGGGCTAACGTGTATGTACACAACTTGGCTAATTCCTCATCGGAATCACAATTCTCCAGTTGACATATAACTGGAAATACTTTATAAAATCCTGGTTGTACACCGATCGGAGAACGAACGACAGTGATCGAAATCCATTTGCAAACTGTCTTAAATAATCGGATCGCTATTTCACGGTCCTCAGCGTTTTTCTCGGAGTCGGTCGAAGAATCGTTGAAGTTAACATTTGCTACTTGTGCAGATAAAGATTGGTCTTCCTTGCTGTACAGCAGGTCGGTTTCAGTGACAAGGGACTGCAATTTCGGTAATATTCTATTTATTAAATCCTCCACTTTATGCGTCCACTGATTGTCCGAGGCATCGGGAAACCGGAGACTCGCGTTAAATACTGTCACCAAAACAGAACCTAATCTCCCTCTTACATTTTGGAATGGACTCGCCATTAGTCTGTCTTCCGTGCGTTTCAGTAGACGCTCTAATAATTGTGAAACTCGCCATGACTGTTTCTCGAGAGCAGCTTGCAGAATAAGCAAACGTCCGCATTCGACGAAAGACGATTCCGATTCACCGAGGTGCGGTTCTTCCATTAAGCATTCCAATAACCAATGGTGTCTATTCGGATCTCTGTGTCGTTGTGCAGTCGCAAAGCACAAGCCCCAGTCCATATGAGACTCCACTGTTAAATTGGTTAATACGAGCCTCACAACTGGTAACAAACAGTCCCACATTTCACAGATCATATCGAATGGCCAATGCTTGGAGCCTCTAATGATCCCGGCAATTATTTCAGCCGCGTACTTTTGGCTGCTCTTCTGTTTGTCCGCGATCAACTTGTACAAATGCGGTAAAAAGTGTTTTAAGTACACTATTCCATGGTTACGAAAGACCCCTTTGAAGAGAAGGAATTTGAGACAGTTGAATTTTTCTCGTTTGTCTTCGAGACTAAAGTACCTTATGAGTTTTTCGATATTCTGTGGATCGTTAAAAAAATAATCAATCTCTTTCTCGTGTTCCGTTAAGGTTCGCACAGCTGGATCTAAGCAAGGCTGCTCAGACGATGGCGCGTATATTTCTATCTTCGCCGGCCAGGTGTAATATCCGGTATACACGTTATGAACAAATCTGGGTTCATCCCATTGTTCCGCAGTGAGAGGACGAGTTTCATAATTGTATTGAAGCCAGGCGTTGTCTGGTCTTTGTCCCGGTATCAGCTTCTTAAATTGATTTCGTGACTCGTTCTCTTCTGGTAAAGCAGGAGGATCGATAAGTACCTTTGAATTAAAAAACGGATTATTTAGCGTGTATATAATTCACCTGGTAATTCAGGTGATTAATACATTTCATAATTCAATGAATACTTTACTTTTGGATGTTTCCGTTTCAGCTGTTTCAAAATGTACACGACTACTGAAATAGCGATTTGCCTTTCTTGCACCGAATCGTGTATCAACGCTTCTAAGAAGTAACGAACCACCTTTGGTGGATAGTTCTGATGCGGATGGACTAAATTTCGGATAAAACTCATTGCCATTAACCGATGCCTCCAATACAAATTCTTTTCCAAAAGAATATTCAACAGTTCATTCACTAACTCATTGTAAGAGGTAAGATTAGTTCTTTCGATCTCTTTAAAGTCTTCCAAACCTTGTTTTATTTCATTTTCGGTTGGCAGGGGCAGATTTGGTCGAGGCTGAGTTGTCCATAATTTAGACGCAACGGTTAAACACGTTTCTGGCACTTCTAGTGAAATTGCAACTGTTGGGAAACGTTTGTTTACAGTTTGTACTAAACTCTCCCTTAGTCGTACTACAGACAGTTTCTCAGATGTTTTGGAGAGCACTAAAGCTGGCCATAAAGATCTCAATAGTTTCCAATCGCATTTCATAATGATAGGATCTGGTGAAGGACCAAACAAGATATACAAAGCGCTCTGTTAATAAAATAAAAAGTATATAAAAATTTATTACAGATGAAATACTAAACAAATGAGAAGATATTAAATTATTAACAATTATACTTCGCATTACCTTGTACGCGTTGTGATGCTCCTCTGGATCCATTTTCAATATATCAAGTAATCGTGGAACAATAAATACGTAAGAGTAATGAAAATGTTGAAGAGCGAGAAAGAGATGGCATTGAGCTTGCGATCGCACATCAGGATATCTGCTGGTGGATAACGTGAAAAGTTGAAGCATAATTTCTTTATGGGTTTCTGTCAGGTTAAAATTTTGCGAACGTATTCGAGTCTCGTGTTGGATATTTGCACGTTGCAGTACGAACGGTTTCAGCAATCCCTTATTCCCTACCAATTTGTCTTTGAAGATTTTATTCACAACTTTAAAATGTCTATGCTTTATTTCACAGGTATCGGTGTAAGATTCTCCCAACAGAAGGTTGATCCAAATCTAAAATGAAAAACTTGTATTCGTTCGAGTCATTAACAGATGTTGAAGTTGTCTATCGAGATGAGTACGTACCTCTACCAGAACTTGCAAACTCTTCGTATCATCCTCCACGTGCATTAATATTACTTTCTGAAAATTATTCATAAGTGTTGCGATACAGCGTCTAACATTACTGCCATCCGGCATTGTTATTACTTCACGCGCACCAAGCGTCGGTTTAAAAGGCACTGACTTTAACGATGATTTTATTAAAATTAATGGTTCTTCTTCCCATATCGGTAGAACTGATTCACAACCTTGAACAATACCGCATACAATGTTTAAACTAGTCAGCAGTTCATCCCTAAAATTGTCCAACAATGTATCACGCAATTACAACCACGCGTAGTTCACATGAAAAAAAAAAAGAGAAATCTTAGTGACGACAAACCTTGATAGCGTATTCCAATCTTCGCAATATTTTTGTAGTTTAGTTATCTCGGGTAATAAATACTTAAAGAATATTCGCTTTAATGCAGTTATCTCTTCTTTTCCGGGAATGTACCATTCAACCTTTATGGTGTTAATACCTAATCTTTGGCCCCAATGCAAAACTTCGGTAGATTTAAATCGATATGGTATAACTTGAGATAGCGAGTACAGAATACTCTTTAACAACATAACAGCTAAATTGTTCCCTTCCCTTGACTTTAAAATCAGTACGCGATCGAGAACAGTGATCAGTACATCTATATGCGGCAGCAAATATTTCCCTGGCGTATCTACGATAGCAGACAACAACAGCATGGCATACAGAAGGCGATTGTCCAAATTTTCTTCTTTAACAATGTCGGTGTTCTCTCCTGTGATTTTTAAAATAGTCTCTGAAAGCAGCGGTAACAACGAACGCAAAGTTTCTCTTCCATTAACACGAGCGAATAGCCTGCATAAAAGAGCAGCCAGCTGTCCAGCAACTTTCGTTTCAAGTATACGTTCAGTTACGAAAGTGCGCAACTTGTGTAAAGCACACTCAAAGATTTTATCGTTTGTCTGAATTAATAAAACCGTGCAAACTTCTTTAAGCACGGATTCGGTAACTCTTTCCATTTTACTTCTGCCATTGTCGGCAGAGCTTTCCAGTCGTACTGATTCCAAGGAGGTGGAATCTATGAAGTAGAATACTCTATCGAAAAATTGTATGATAAAGTCTTCGAATTTGGATGTTGCCTCATAAATTAATGCTTCCTCCTCTTCGTCCATTATCGCGGGCACTTCAGAAGGCTCCATGACGGGTATAAAAGAAGCATAAAATGAAATTAAGCGGAAAATTACAAAACACTTTTGCGTGTCACTTGGATTAATGCCAGGTAAAAGCAAGAATAGTAACGGTAGAACATGTGCAGGTCCTTCGGGATAAGTATATCCTGAAATAAAAACAGTAACTGAAAGTGATTCTGCGGCATTGCAGCGAGCAGCGTGATAATAATTTTATAGTTATTAATTTTGAAAATTAAATACTCTGGTTTATACCTTTATTGACGTTTCTAGATCCTTCTACCATTGGTCCAGCTATAGCTTCCATATAACTTAATGAAGTATACAATTTGTATGACTCAGTTGTGAGTGAGTCCAATACAGAAGATATTTTGTTTAAAACGTCTGGAATAACTAAGCTAGGCCTCATAGTTGCCAGGTGTTGCAAAATTTGGGAGGAATTACTGAAACCTGTTTTGCAGAATGTGGCTGTCATAGCTACTGGCATCATACTTTTGACAAATGCATCGATATCGTCATCAGTCAGCTTATATTCATCGGGAACAGGTGTTTCCCATGTTGGTTTAGGATAACGTTCTCTATTAATGGTAAGAATTAATAGTAAAATATTGCAATTGGAAAAACCTATTATAGGAATATACAATAGAAAAATAGAATGATAGTTACTTGCGTAAACGTGTAATGAAATGATATGAAAGTTTCATAAGAAGTTCTTTTAACTTCCTTAACCATTGACCAGTATTGGCTGGATGAAAATATGTATCTATGGTTTTCAAGAATTTTTCAAAATACATTTGTGCAGTTGAACCGTGTCCCTGAAATTATTAAATAAAACACAAACATATTTCATATGAATATTTGATAGCTCCATCCTTAAGAATTCCTTTGATTATAACAAAATCTTACCAGAACTGATACTATCCATATAGCAATGGGAGATGTATCTATTTCATGATAGTTGCACGCTTGTTGTTTATTGTACAACACGGGTAGTCCAAAACATCTCACAAATCTAGTGAACATCAATGGAATATGTGGTTCCCAGTTGATGTACCCAATGTTTTCAGAAGCTAATGTCGCCATTAAATTCATTATTTCATTCTCCCATTTTGGCGCATTATTACAAACTTCCCACAAAGACATGAATTCATCGAACCATAATTCATGTCCAATCGAATGATATTTGGGAGGTAATTGTACTGGCAAGAACGATTCTAATTTTTCCATGTTCATAGACATCGGTGCAAGATCAAGAGGGCAAAGCATTGGTCTCAACTCATCTAATATCTCCTGCGTTGCACTCAACTATCGTAATGAATTAATCTCCAATCCTTTCACAAACTTATTTGAAAAAAATAATCACTTACAGGAAAATAAACTTTTACAGCATGTATAAGTATGTTTAATGTTACTGTTAAGCCAGCAGAGTAACGATACATTCCCAATGAAGTCTGTACAGTTGATTGCACGTGACAAGCTAATTTGTAAAGAGGTTTCCATGGAAGTTCTAACTCTTCTGGAGGTATTAATGATTTCTTCCTAATAACATTTAAATCAAAATATATCTAACCATTGTGATTTGTGTTGAAATCATTAATATCTATGTAAAACTTACTTTAATAAAGAAATTAATGTCAAACAACACCCATTCATTAAATACGGTTCTAAATCTGGAATTGTAACTAGTTCATACATTAGTTTTATTAAAAGAATATGGTCTTCTTTACTGAATTTTAAGCCATATATCTTTATGTACCTACAACAAATATAAATATGTTTGATGTCCAGAAATGAATGTAAATAATAATGACTCTATATAGATTTTATATTCTTTGTAGAAGTAATGAAACAATTCAAAAGATATCTACTTACTCGTGCAACCTAATGACCCACAGAACACAACCGGGTTGTAATTCACGAAGCATAATCGCTCGTCCTAAATTTCCTTTAATTTCGGCCAAAAGAGCTTGGGAATCTGATTCCAGCTCGTCCACATATGGTAACAATTTGTTGTATATAAGTTCTTTCTGATAACGAATCTTAACACCTTCGTTCGTTGAATCCATGGTTTCTTTCTCCTTCGAACTCTTCTCGTCGAGCGTAGTTTCATGATCCTTGCACATGATTATTCGAAATACAATATTATTATAAGTGAACGTTACAGGTTAAGTAGTTGCGTCCCACGGAAGAACAGACGATATAATGAGAAATCATAAACGTTGTTGAGTCAGCAACAACTTGCTTATTCTTCTTCATTTTTATCGAGTCATGTTTTGTATTTCGGTAGCCATGTTTGATATGATAAATTTGAAAAGATCGGATTAAAAACTAACCACTGTCAATGTATCTCCCTATGGAACTAGAAAAATATCGATCGCGAACATATCGATGATCTGACTTTATCGATCGCTAGAAAGAAGAAGATCGACTTTACCTATCGTTTGCAATTTTGAATTCTCGCTGGTTATGTAACTCAGCGAATTTAATTAAATATATTATGTAATTCTATTTATTCTTGGTATCCACCATCAAATTGTATGTACTAATTTAATGAGAACTTTTCACCGACAACACTGATTATTAAAAGTGTACATAATTAGTCACTATTGAATTTAAAATTGCAATAAAATGCAACAATAATGGTGGCGTTTTCAGACATGTAACAAATCTCTTATTGATTCATTTTGCGACTGAATTATGCTGGATTTCGTTTTGAATGTTATCAAATTTCCATGAATTTATTAAAATCTCATTTGGATTGCATGAATACACCATCTACTTTCTGGAAATGTATAGATTTAGTTTTGTTCGTATTACGAGAGACTAAAATATGTGTGTATTTAGACGATTTCTGTTATTTACGCTTATTCTTTAAACAAATATTCAATTGCTTTTTTTACACTCTGGAAAGCATCAGTGCCAAATGAAATTAAACGAATATGATTATAACGTAATTGACATACTTGGAGAGATCAATTTTAATCTGACGTGTTGTACTGTAATTTTTTAACTTATCCCATACTGCAAATATTTTTAACTGCAAACTATACAGTAACAAAAAAGCTGAATAATACTTTGGAATAAAATATTAAACAATAATACTTAATGTAAGTGGATACAATGTTCTCCTACAACTTTGCGCTTTACCGACCTCCTTAGTGTCTCATAACCATTCCCATTATTTCCTGTCATTATCTAACAAACCTACAAGAAAGAAATATAGCGATGATATCAGTCAATGGTAACAAAGATGAAGTGGTTTCTATTTCTCCCAAGCAGCTTGCCGAACTTTTCGAGTTTCATAAAAGCATAGAAGAAATACTGTATAATTAATCCCACTGAAATTGATTCTGAAAAATGGTCGAAGTTTCATCTCTGTAATGTACTATCTACCCCATGACATGATTGTCATATGTATAAACATATGGCGTCAGCACAGACAGAGCTACAGACGTAAATAGGAGTAGTACGTTGCTATTTATCAGTGTTATTTCAATGCTCCGTTTTACAATCCATGATATCCATGATATAATCTGTAAATGTGATATGCAAGCTAGGTTAAGATCTCTTTCTCTTGTTACATAGTTTATATATTCTGAAATTTAAGCTTCTGAATTTTGACAATTACTTTTACCTGTTGTTGACAGTTTCGTTTGGTACAAAACAACACTAGATTAAAATCGATAAATGTACAATAATGAGGACTAGAAAAACATTTGCAATACTGGGGGCAGGTTTAATATTGGCCTGTTGCGTGATGATATATTTAATGATGGATTTAGCACTTTTCCCTCCTGGACAAGGACCTAAACTTTCTGTTAACGATGTAAGTGTATGATAAATATAGTATGACATACGTATGATTTTATGTATAATATTTTGTTCTACATTTTCAGAATCAGTGGTTACATTTTGAGAACAGGTTAGCAAAGTTAGAAAAAGACTTCAATAAGCATCATGAAGTCATGAATGCTTTGCGAGAAGTTGCTGAAGCAAAAAGCTTTGTCCCTATAGCTCATACTATAAATCGTTATAATCGATCCTTATCGTCAAGTTCCTCTCGTTTAGGAAAAGTACTTACATGTAACTTTAATATGCAGAAAATACCAGAAGTAGATATACAAATGTTGGAGATGTATAGACAATTAGAATTTGATAATATTGATGGTGGAGTTTGGAAGCAAGGCTGGGATATTACTTACGATGATAAACAGTGGCATCCAAAAAGAAAATTAAAAGTCTTTGTAGTTCCACATTCTCATAACGATCCTGGATGGCTTAGCACTTTCGAGAAATATTATACATTACAGACTCGGAATATCTTGAACAATATGGTACTAAAATTAGTAGAGGACAGAAGACGTAAATTCATTTGGGCAGAAATATCATTTTTCCAGCTTTGGTGGGAAGACCAATCAAAAACGACACGAAATTTGGTACGACGTTTAATTCACGACGGTCAGTTGGAAATTGTATCTGGGGGATGGGTCATGCCAGATGAATCTGTATCTCATTGGATGGCTCAGCTTACGCAACTTACCGAAGGTCATCAATGGTTAAAATATAACTTAGATTATACACCAAATTCAGCCTGGAGTATTGATCCATTCGGTCTTTCTCCAACAATGCCGTATCTTTTAAAAAATGCTGGACTAGAAAATGTATTAATACAAAGAGTACATTACTCAGTTAAAAAAAAATTAGCTAGGGAAAAACATTTAGAATTCCGATGGAGACAATTATGGGACAATGATGGATCAACAGAAATCTTTACACATGTTATGCCATTTTACAGTTATGATGTACCTCATACTTGTGGTCCAGACCCAAAGATATGCTGTCAATTTGACTTCTTTCGACTTCAAAGTTTTGGATTAACTTGTCCATGGAAAATAGCACCGCGAACTATCACTAAAGCGAATGTTGCAGAGAGAGCTGCCCTGTTACTAGATCAATATCGAAAGAAAGCTCAACTCTTTAAGACTGATGTGGTACTAGCGCCATTAGGAGATGATTTTAGATATACACATTTTACTGAATGGGATGCTCAATATACTAATTATCAAAAGCTGTTTGATTATATGAATAAAAATGAACAATTAAACGTTGAGATTAAATTTGGAACGTTAAGTGATTATTTTGATGCAGTTAAAGAGAAATATAATTTGACTGAGTTTCCTACTTTGTCAGGAGACTTCTTTACATATTCCGATAGAGATGATCACTATTGGAGTGGATACTATACTTCAAGGTATACATAAAAATACATTGATATAGAGGATTATATTATATGTTAATTAAATATATTTTAGGCCCTTTCACAAACGACTAGATCGTGTTTTGTTAAGTTTATTAAGAGCTTCAGAAATATTAAATACTATAGCTTGGAGCAAAGGTAATGATAAGCTGGCAGAAGGAACTCTTGCTCAACGTCTAAGCAAAGCAAGAATGTGGCACTCTCTGTTTCAACATCATGATGGTATCTCTGGAACTGCTAGGGATGAAGTAGTCATAGATTATGCAAAAAAGATGATAATGGCTTTAAATAATTCTGCTCATGTGCTTCAACACTCTGTAGTACATTTATTGAAAACACCTCAAGAATCTATAACAAATATAGACAGTGTGTATATAACGCTTGACGAATCCAGGTAAAAGACACTTTAAAATATTTAAGAATTTTGTGCTCTTATATACCCATTGATAATCAATGAAATACTTATTTTTTATATTAGATTACGTCATACTAGTGCTGGAGACAAACAAGTACTTATATTAGGGGATGAAAATCCTTTAAAAAAAGTTATTCTCTACAATTCTCTTCCAAGACAAAGAACTAAAGTACAAACACTGATTGTTTCAACTCCATATGTCAAAGTCACTGATCGCATGGGTCAACCAGTCCAATGTCAGATTTCTCCAATATGGATCGGACCTGCTGCACTAACTGCCGCTAGATACGAGTTATCATTCCTAGTAACTGTACCTGGATTTGGTATCACAACCTACATAATTCATGCTCTACCTAAAACATCATTTCCATCGTACGATACTTTCTTCTCATCTAAATGTCTGTATATATGTCTAGTTATTCATATTGTTTTTATTTATTATATATAGAAAAGTGCATCTCGCTAATGTGACTGTTTACAACACGGACATTAGTCTTCCTAAAATACCAGGCTTCGGACAAATTCAAGTAGTACCAAATGCTCAAGAATTTTCGGTTACTCAAAGACCAGACTTGTCCGCGTCTTTTGGAAAATCTGGTCTCTTGAAAGCTTTGAAAGTCGGTAATACTACATTCCCTGCTCATTTGGAGTTCGTCAAGTACGGAACTAGGGGCTCGGGTAAAGACAAAAGTGGAGCTTATCTATTTTTACCTGACAAGCCAGAACCAGACTTGGTATTTATGGATAATAAATGTATCATACATTTAATAACTGGGCCTATTGTCTCTAAAGTATTTGTAGAATTAGCTCATGTCCGTCACACTTGTATATTGTACAATTCACCTGGCAGTGATGGGCTTGGATTACACATACTCAATGAAGTTGATATATCAGAAACTCAAAACTATGAGCTTGCTATGAGATTGAGTACAGACATAGCTTCAGGAGATCAATTCTTCACCGATTTAAATGGACTTAATGTAAGCATTAAAATATTAGAATTCCACTAAGCATAAGAACTACTAAAACATACAGATTTCATTATTTAGATGATTAAGCGCCAAAGATTTCCAAAGCTGCCTACTCAAGGAAATTATTATCCAATGGCAGCAAGTGCATATATAGAAGATAAAAGAGTTAGATTAACGGTAGTAACAGCACAACCATTAGGTGTAAGTTCTATGGCATCAGGACAAATTGAGGTACATACATATCCTATGACTCTCAATTAAAAAAGAAAATAATTTCTAATACTTAGTATTAATATTATAGATTATGCAAGACAGAAGATTACTTCAAGACGATAATAGGGGATTAGGTCAGGGTGTAACTGACAACCTATTAACAAATCATTGGTTTATGTTCGTTCTTGAAAAAAGAAAATCTCAGTGTCCATCTCCATCGCCAACAGCGAACCATCCTGGAGGATTAATATCGCTATATGGTCATTTAGCTTCAGAAGAATTGTTGCATCCAATAATTGCAATGCACCCTCAAAATGTTTTAGAATTTGATTTAAATGCGTCCTTTGCGCCTCTTCGCTATGATTTTCCTATAGATTTAAGTGTCGTTAGTTTTAGGGTATTTCCTATACCCGATGGTGCTGGTAAAGGTGTCGGAATGGTTTTGCATCGAGCAGCTTTAGACATGTGTTGGAATGACAACTCTTATCAACGTTATTTCAATGTCTCCGAGTCTGGAGAAGTTGATTTAACGAAGTTCTTCTATCATATAGATGACTGGATTATCAGTAAAGCTCCTCTTACATTCCACAATGTAGGACCTTCTTTGAAATCTCCAATCATTAATTTATGTCCACACCAAATATTACCAATTTTGTTTCACAAAACACAATCATAAGTTTAAGAAAAGTTAGTTCTTTATTTTCATATAGTTCAATACAAAATCACTTGTTTCTCTTGCTCACCGATCCACTGTCCACAGCCTTACTCATAATAACATAGTGCAATGGGTCAGACATCGATGGACTGGTTTTATCTAGCTTGTAACTGCAATGTAATAACATTGCTTACAATATGCTTTGTACAGTGAACTAGTATAGTCCATAATTTCTACTGCCTAATGTTTTAATACTGTTTACCAAATGAAGTGTAAGTAGAACTAAATAATAAAATTATAATTTTACTTTGATGACACTGTGCCATTCCCATATACAGAATGTTCCGCATAGCATAGCATACTTCCGCAATAAATAAAAATTGTAAAATATAATTTGGTCATTTGAGGTTTTATTTTTGAAAATTAAAATTAAATAATTCAAATGATTTTGATAGATTGCAAACATGTTTATTGAAATGTTTTCTCTTGCTGCTATGATTTATCTTAGATATTACATTGTATTTTTATCAATAAAACATGTAAGCATTTAAAAATAAAATATTCCTTGTTACATAAAGTATTTACTTTGGATCATTGGCACAGTGACATTAAGTAAACTAACTGTACAAATAGAAAGTTACAAGATAAGAATACATTTTCATACTAGTCGTATCAATATTTGTAAAAAATGTAATTTTTTACATTTGCAGTATATGTACATTTTATTATAAAAGATTAAAATTCTTGTCATAACGATGGAGTACACACAATATTCTTACCATATTTATTAGTTTCTTCTAATTATGATGGAAGTATACTTACCCGATAGAAAAAAAAAATGGCATAGCTGCAAGATTATGCTTAAATACAGTTAAAACTACTTTTTGCATTTTGTGGTGTAATGCCATTGATTCAAGGACAGACATCATGAATTGACCGAGTCCTTTTCTTCTTACCGATGGCTCCAATTGTATTTCATAACTGCATTTGAGAAAATGCTATTTTCTTTTTATTTGTAGTTTTATGCAATAGTGTACATTAAAATATACATACCAATAAAGTACTTCTTCCCTATGATCTATGTCAAATCGAAAATGAGAAAATCCAAGGAACTTATTATTTGAAGAAGCTACTAAATACCACGCTGCTGATTCTGTTAACTCTTGTTGCTTTGCAACTGAATCCCAACCCCATGCGCATTGTTCATACATGGATTTCATATTACGTTCCATAATATCAAATATCCAAGATAAACATTCTGGGGTCGCATCTTTGGCTCTCATACAAGAAATTTCAATAATCTGATTGTCTCCTGTTACATACTTGTGAAAAGAAGTTAAAGATTCTAACGGATTTATGACAGCATTTGCTTTATCAACTAATTGTCGTGCTGCAGCTTCTTTTTCTGCCAAAAGCTGACGTCTTGTCTGCCTTTTCTATAGAAAAATATGAAATATATACATATTTATATATACATATACGTATATATATATACATATATATACGCGTTTTTTTAAATTATTAAAATGAAGATAATATTCATTATCAACTCAGGAATCAATATTTATAATACCTTCATTGTAATTATATTTCCCGCCTATTTTACAAATAATTTTAGGCTATATTTTCCATTTGAAGAATCTTTTCTATAAATGCATAAAAATTGGAAGCATTTAAAGTTTGAATTTAAATCATTTCTCTTAAATATAATAATTTATCCTTAAATGTATGTTCATGTATCTATAGCATACTATGAGTTTTAATTTTATGTATTATTGTGAAAATTTATTATATGATTCAACAGTGCGATGAGCCCCTTGTGCATACGTTTCACAGTGAACCAACTTATTAAATGTATATGTATACATATGACACGCAGTGCAACAGTGTGATTTCTGTGTACATATCCTTGTTATACCTTTGGGCATTAATATGTGTGTACATTAGTGTTATAAATTTAAGCTGAAAATCTTCGAAAGGTTTTAACTCGTTTGATAAAATACTTTTACGTAGGAAGTAGCGTATTGTTATAAGTGTTACAAGAACTTGGATGATGACAAAATAATATCGACTGATTGGCAGCAGATGCATTTTACATTTTATCGTTAGTGTCTTTCAAAAAAAATCTCTTTACTAGATTTATTCCTCCCTTATAATTAATCACACATTTTTCTCCTTTTTTTCAATATATTCATTTATTTTCTTTTTACTGATATAGGTTAAGTAACTTAGTCACGTATTACGTATTTTTTATGTTTGTATTATCATCGATATCAATATGTAACATATGTTGGGTAAGGATAAATTAATTTGTGATTGCTAAGGATGGTAACTTTGATAAGTATATTTGTTATTATAAAATACATTGTACAAATTCATCTATTATTGTAACATTTTTATAGTTATACACTACCAATTTATATTCACATATTTTTTAACATAAGCAGTGGCATGTATAACAATTGCTGTTTTTTTATTCTATTTCAGATATTGTAATTAAAAATTGAGGAATGGCAGAAAATGCTACTGCATCGAATGTAGAGGAAAAAACTATTTCCTCAGCTATGACACAGTGCTATGAAAATTATATCATAGTTGATGTTGGTGCCAACCTTACAAATAAAAAGTATAGCAGAGATTTAGATAGTGTAATTCAAAGAGCAAAAGATGCTGGTGTACAGAAAATTATGGTAACTGGTGCAAGTATTCGATCTAGTAAAGAAGCATTACGATTAACTAGAATATATCCTGGTACTCTTTATTCTACTGCTGGTGTACATCCTCATGATGCAAAATCATGGGAAAGTCCAGATACTTTACAAGAACTTGAGACTATAGCTAGTAATCCAGAATGCGTAGCAATAGGAGAATGTGGTTTAGATTACAGTCGTGACTTCTCCGATCCTGAAACACAACGTGCTGTGTTTCATAAACAAGTAGAACTTGCGTGTCAGTTAAATAAACCACTAATAATACATGAAAGAGGAGCTCAAGCGGATGTTTTAGAAGTTCTAAACCATTATAAAAATTGTTTACCGCCAGTTTTAATTCATTCATTTATCGGAACTGCAGAAGAAGCTCAAGTGTATTTAGATCGTGGCTTTTACTTAGGAATTACAGGATATTTATGTAAAGATAAATCTGATAGTGGAATAAGACAATTATTGGAAAGAGGTCTCGCACCTTTAGAAAGAATATTAGTAGAAACAGATGCACCATTTATGTATCCTAATACTAGAGCCAGTAAGCTACCTGTACACGTTAAAGATGCTCTCACTGAACGATCTATGACATTTCTTCATCGTTATTGTACTTTTCAACGTAACGAACCATGTGCCTTACCAGCAATAGTGGAAATGGTAGCAGCATTTATGCAAATCACTCCAGAAGAAGTTGCTTTAGCTACTGCTTTCAATGCTTTAAAATTATTTGGCTTAAATCAGTAACATTAAGAATCACTTTTTATCTGAAAATGGTGCTAATTGGTGCTATTTAACATCTTAATTATCCAATTAAAAATATTGTCTTTTTTTATGTTTAAAATCATTATTTGTGTGTCCAGATAAGTGTACCTCTTATAATAACAATGGCATACAATTAATTTATATATATATATATAAATATATATATATATAAAAGGAACAGTAATCGTGGCAATTGTCATTAAATTTTTACCTTATTTATATGTTATTCATATGTTTATGCAATAATACTCGACTATATATTAAAATTAGTACCGCATCAAACATTTCATTTATTATAGTATAACAGATATTTTTTAGGAATATGTATGAGATACATAAAGGCCGAAATCATACAATTTTATTGTTGATGTTATATTTTCATATAAATAAATTGTTACATTGATGTACAAATATTGTCAATTTATTTTAAACAGGGAATCCCAATTTCCCAAAAATCTAACGAAACAAATATTACATAATGGTATTTACAATCATTGCACCTAGAAAGTATTCAAAATGGAATTATTATTATTAATATATACTTACACTCTTTTACATTAAAATTTTTATTAATTACACTATATCTAAAATTAAATTTTTCTTATTTCATTATTACATACTTTTAAATTTGGAAGTAATTTTAAAAGATATGATTTCTTTTCATTGTTGGGTAATCTCCACCATGTATCTGCACTTATCTGAACAATCGTATATCCTGTTAATTTTTCAAGTGATTTCACACATATTTCCCATGTAGAATGATATCTCCCTGAATTTTTACAAATTACTGACGTTGGAACAGATAAAATAAGTATTCTGTAAAAAATAAAGATAATTTGTATGTATGACTGGAAATTCTTATAAAAATTTCGTTAACATACGAAACTTTATACCTGGAATATTCTAAGGGAGCTGTTATGTTTTCAATATATCTACTATTATCATACTGAATAACCACAGGAAAACCATTTGGATTTAATATAATAATATGATCTGAAGTAAAAAAAAATATCAGATCAGTTCTAAAATGTATTTTAATTATTTATAAAAATTATATAATTTCTTACCAATATGGTGGCCAAATTTTGTTGTCATGTTACTTCCCACAAATGTACCACCTCCTACCATATCTTCTAAGCACGTTTTTAAGAATGAATTATAATGTACTGTTGTCTTTTGTATACAATGATCAATTACATTCTGACTTAATGTTATCCCCTGATAATTTGGATATAAAATTTTAACACACTGATATAGTCTTATGAGAAAACTCATTATTCCTACATCTAGCAGATTACTTTCTGAGCAAAAACGGGAAGAAAAAACATGTTTAAGTAGTTTTTCATTATAGTAATCCAATGACAATAAATAGAAAGTAATTAATACTGCAAGGTCAAAATCACATTTCCAAACAAAATCCAGTATCAATGGTTCTAATTTTTCCCAATATGTTGTTTTGTAAGACGATATAGTCATGGCTTTTATAAAAGAATTCATTTGTCCTGCTGTGCAATCTCTTAATAAGTTAGGATTTTCTACACATTTTTGTGCTAAATAATCCATGAAAGATATATTTCTATATTTTATTCTATTTAAAAGTCTCAAAACTTCTATGTCATTGTCAAAGCTCATATTTTTATTCTTCATAACATGATACAATGTATGTACCAAATTTTCAAAGTAAGAATTCTTCATTTGCCTAAAAAAGAAGAAGTAATATAGCAATAATAAATCAATACATTCTTAAGAATTATATACAAATAAAAATTTTTAATTACTCACTTGTTTTTATGTCTTTTTTCAATGTGGACAAGTAAAAACCTGATTGCTTCAAAATTTAATGTCTCATAATTGTTAATTATTATATCAGTCATTTGGTTCAAAAGTTTACAATCTAATATATTTAGTTCTGGTATCAAAATAAGCCCATGCAAAATAGTCACTGCATCGTATATGTTTTTGGTTTCATTATTTTTATATAACTTATTGATGGCATATATAACTAAGTTCATATTTTTTACCTGAGTTGCAAAGTTAAGAGCCTGTATTATATTATTTTTGTTTCTTTCATCAAGTTCAATTTTTATTCGATTTTCAAAGACTATTGGCAAAGCAAACAACAGACCTTTTATTAGTTCTGTTTCATCCAAGCGTTTCAACTTATGATATAAACGTCTTATTTGTGATAATGTTAAAGTATTTATTTGAACTCTTAAAAGCTGAAGTAATGTTTCAACTAATACAGTGTTAGTTGGAACTTTTAAAGAGTATAAGAAATCTAACACGTCAAAAATATTCTGTATACTTAAACTTCGCACATTATATTGTATCATTATACATAAACGTAGAAATTGTTTAGAGTTTACTACGCTTTCGTTGTGCATTAATTCACTAAATTCATACATACGTTTTAATATTTCGCTGACAGGTCTATTATTAACTTGTGAATTATATATTTGCTTCCGTGCATATCTAAACCCTGAAGTAACTGAAAATACATATGATAAAGCATCGATTAGAGGAATAAAAGAAATTTAACTTTAATTCATTTTTACCTTCTTCAGATTCTTTATACTGTTGTGAAATACAATACATTGCTGAATAATTTAGTAACTTCACATGCTGATGTATCTTTAAAGACTTATTTAACCTCAAGACAAATTTGTTTATCATGTTAATTTTCTAAAATTTTATAAATTTGATCTATGAACAATGTATATAACTAAGTTACAATTTCACTCATACAATTATCATTGAATCGGTTAAATATACAAACTTAAAAATGATTAAATTCACAAGACGAATGTTTTTAAATTACACCTAGGAGTAGATATAAACATAAGAGAGTAATACAAAAATGCGTTGTAAACGCTACCTATTACAAAATCTGTAAATTAAAATTGTATTTGTAGTACCATAGACAAAATACCTATAGGTAACATAGAACTAGGTGGTCAGAACAGGGAAATTCAGGGGAACAAAAATTGAGTTCATCCTCTCCCAGGCGTTACCGTCAAGTTCTGTGGTGGTTTCGGAGGTTATTGTAGGATGCTTGCCGATGAGGAATGAGGTAGTGGAAGAGGTAAGGCAGAGTGGGAAAAAAGCAACCGTTTGGTTGCTTTCTAACTTCATTGCGTAGAACTACAAGCTGATAAGAACTAACTTCATGATAAATCAAGATAAATCTTAACAAGAAATTTATACTTTTAAGATATAGTTATTACTTAAATTTACGGTTAAAACATTGATTTTATACATAATGTAACAGAGAGGAAAAGCGCGTTAAACAAAATTGTATAATTTCCACAGAAACTGCGTTAAAATCATAAATAAAATGAACAACAATTATGCATTTGTAACATGGGGTTTTGTAATGCATTTAATAATGCTATGGGGTGTGCTTGATGTGAATTTTCATTCACCTATTATACAAGATTTACCAAGTGTAGAAATTTTAAAAAATGCACCTGCAAAGAGATTAGTTTTATTTGTCGCTGATGGTTTAAGGTTTAGAACTTTCATTGAAGCTCCGCCAAAATATCTGAAGTGATTACTTTAATAAATACAATATTTCAAATATTTTTTCTATATTTAAAATTTATATATTGATGTAATTTTAATTACAGAAATGTGATGTTAAGTAAAGGTGTATGGGGAATATCTCATACACGTATGCCCACAGAATCTAGACCAGGTAATATTGCAATTTGCGCTGGATTATATGAGGATCCTAGTGCTATTTTCAAAGGGTGGAAAGAAAATCCTGTTGATTTTGATTCTGTCTTTAATCAAAGCCATCTTTCATGGGCATGGGGAAGTCCAGACATCATATCTATTTTCACAAAAGGTATTATAAATATTAAAGAACTGTATTTGAAATTTCATGTAATTGTAAATTTTTGTTTTGCTTATTAAAATTAGGTGCAAAGAAAAATATACAAGGCAGCAGTTATCCACCTGAGTGGCAAGATTTTGACATAATGGAAGGTCAAATTTGGCGTTTAGATTCTTGGGTATTTGACAAATATCTCACCTGGCTTCGGGAAGAAGCTTACAAAGTAAAACATTCGGATCGTATTATTTTTTTCCTTCATCTTCTCGGTTGTGATACTATAGGTCACACAGCAAAACCTCATTCTCGGTATCTAAGTATTATAAATATAAATTATCTACATGATAGCTTAATTAAAAAATGATTTTTTCAATGTAATTATGATCATACTAGCTTGAAATTAAATTTGAATACAGAGAATACACTGATAACATGAACTATGTTGATCGAAAAATTGAAGAAGTTGTTCAAATGACAGAGTCTGTTTTCAAAGATAATGCTACAGCATACATTTTCACAGCTGATCATGGAATGACTGATTGGGGATCGCATGGAAGCGGTTCCACGGATGAAACAGAAACTCCATTAATTGTTTGGGGTGCTGGAATTAATAATTTTAATTCCAGTCAAGATATAGAACAAATAGATATTACACCACTGATGTCTACTTTAATTGGTGCTCCTATTCCTACTAATAATGAAGTATGTATAATAGTAAATCCATTGAGAAATTGTTAAAATTTGAATGTTTTTTGTATTCATGTATACTATATTTCTAGGGTGTTCTGCCATGGCAATATTTAAATACCAATAACCTTGAATATATAAATGAGGCTTTATTAAATAATTTAAAACAGTTAACACATCAAGTAAAAGCAAATCGTGAAATGAATTGCGAAAATAACAAGTTTTCAGACTGGAGAGTGAATCAATTGTACAATAAAATTTCTACTTTAGACAAACACCATCAAATGAAAGATTCGAAGGAAAGGTTTAAAGAAACAGTTGATGCTATTAAACTAGCTAAAGATTCTTTGCTATATTTCCGCCAATATCAAAGATCATGGTTATTAATATATTTGTCTACAATGTGGTTAGGGTGGATAGTATTGTTATTTTTTAAAATAGCCGGAACTGAACGATCTATCATCAACCGCTTTGCTTTATTAATCACAGACATTTCATTTATTTGCATTCTGATTATTGTATTCGTTACCTACAAAGGTATGACATTTTTTAATATTCACAATTATTCGAAAAATTTACGAATCATTACACGAATTCAATAGTTTCAGATTGTAAGAATTGGAGATTACCCTGCTATGTGACCATGGCTATAATATCCGTTTGGTTAGTTGTTAGAACTGTAATTCTAAATTCAGTGAACTGGAGAATTCGAAATGGTAATCTACCATGGACAGAGATCGCAGGAATAATGTTATTATTGACAATAATGTTTATGGGATTAATATGTAGATCCGCCCTAAGCATAGGGATGTTATGCACTGCAATTATCCTGAAAATAATGTTAAAGGATGTTCAATATTTGATTTGGACAGTATTGCCTCTAGCAGTTTTTCCATTATTACCTGTTGTAGAACCGTACCCTCGTGTTTACATCGTGTAAGTTGAAACAAGTGTCATGATAATGTATATATTTTTTCATGAATTTAATATCGAGTTCTTACTTTCCAGAATTTTAAGTATATGCATAATGACTGTAATGGTAATTTTAAAAATTCAATCGAGGACTAAAAGGGTAATAGAAATTTTTCGTCTAATAATCACAGGATTGACGTACTTAGAATTTATAGATGGTCGAAGTTGGATATCATGGGCAATTTTACTCACGACACCTTTACATATTTGCACTTATTCTACAGAATTAAAAGCGAGAATGCATGGAATAATATCGAGCCTTTTTTGTCCACTCGCTTTATTATCAGCATCTTATGAACCCATGTTTTTTATATTTCTTGCAGTACATTTATCTTATTGGCCTCAAAATAATGTATTCTCTAGTCAAACTTATGAAAAAAGTAAAACATCTATAAAAATGGAAGAATCGCTAAAAGCAGCGATCTTTGTATCCTTTTTTTAAGTATAAAAACAATTAAGCAATTAAATTAGAATTATTTAATGATCGCTTTTATACATCCTGAACTATTTATTATAGATGTTATACACATTACTGTGTTTCTTCGGAACTGGCAATATGGCAAGTATCAGCTCTTTCAATCCAACTTGGACTCGTCACTTTGTAACAGTATTTTCGCCATTTATAATGTTCTCATTAATACTTTTAAAAATGTGTATACCTTTAATATTAGTTGGATGCACAAGTCATATAATGGGATCATCAAATCTTTTCTTAGCGGTACTTCTGTTAGGAGATTGTTTATCATTACCACTTGTATATAGCGTTACTTCTCAGGGAAGTTGGTTGGATATTGGCAGTGCTATTAGTAGATTCATAATCGCGATATCTCTTCCTTGTCTTTTATTGTTGTTGTATTATTTATCGTACCCACTTATGACATTTTCTTTATATAAATTTAAAGTCTCTATACTTTCAGAGAAAAAGCATATTGTATAAGAAAATTGTGATGTGTTCCAACAGTTCTGTTTTAATAAAGCGACCGAGTAACACTTTGTATCATTTTCGTACATTAATATATTACATTGGGGTGTAAAGAAAATTTAACGTATCATTAAATTACAAAGTTTCAAATAATGCGTTACACAAGAAATCGAATGCGGATAATATTGTTTCGGTGAGGTCTAATTTTTCTTTTCCTCGGATAAATCATTTTATTTTTATGGTAGGGGCATTTAATACGTTTAAAATTTAAATTCTTTATATTTTTTCGAAGCTTTTGTGTCCTGACCTTGTTGTCGTTTACGTTTACTCTGCAAAAAGAATTGTTCGTGTTATTAATATTCATTAACTGATACTTAAACAACCAAGATACATTCACTTACTTTTTGTCGTTGCACATGATCTTGAAGCATATCTGATAAGTCTTCTCTTCTCAGATGAGCTTGACGCGATCGCATAGTCTCTTCGTATCGTGACGCCATTGCCTCGGAATCGAGATCCAATTCACTTGGATCTAACGCCAATTCAACAGCTCCGTCTTTCTCTGTTCTTCCATCAGATGTTGTTCCACTTACACCACGGCGTGCAGCAATCACAGATGGAGGTGCTTGACCTCCTGCTGCCCCAGTCATATCGTACACATGCGTGCTGCCCATCATACTGGCTCCAAGACCTTCCGTTCGTCGTTCTTGCAAAACCGTGTACAAAGCGGGCGTATCTCCTCCTTCCATTTCGCTCTCAATTTTCTTCTTCCTTAATTCTATAGTCTCTGGAGTTTCCAATCCTGCAGGAATCGATGTTATTCCGCTTGGTGTTATCAGACCCTCTGCACCGGGTGTAACCAATCCACTTGCATCTCCATCCGTGTCTTTCCCTTCTCCTTCTCCTTCTCCACCCTCCTCTGCATCCTCGTCTTCGTCCTCGTCTCCGGAAGATTCCGATTCAGGCTCGCCCCACATACCTCTGTCAATCTCTTCGTCCATAGCGTCTCCACCCGGAGCGCGAGAGATCCCAAATACATCTCCGTACAAAGGTCGTCCCGTTTCATCTACGGGAGGTTTACCCCAACCACCAGCATGATATCCAAATGCACATCCTTCAGGTATCGGAGCGTTCAAACCAGGTATCTTCAAATTGGGATAACTTGGCGGTGGCCCGTAACGTTGCATAGCGATTAACCACGGCGGTGGAACTTTATGACAATTAGGCCCTACTGGCATACCGAGCGCGGTACGCAGTTCATCGGATAACTCTCCAGGCTTCTTTTCCTTCAAACGCGTTTCGAACTCCTTTCCTTCGTAATAGAGATCACCGTGAATAGTCATACGAGGTTTTGTTTGCCATTTGAAGAATGCATCGTGCAATTTTTGATAATCGATATCTATTTTGCCCAGTTTCGGCCGTGCTCTCTCCCTCATTTTAGCTTTTAATGTACGTGTATCGTCCCGTTCTTGAAGACTCGCCCTCATCTCGGTAATGCCTGTGCGTTTTATGAAATCCGGTAAATCGAACGGAGGTTTTTCGATGCCACGTTTACCCTGGAGATATTTCCTCTTAAAACACCAGTGTCTTGGCACAGGAACGGTATTACGATGAGCTTTTAATTGTACAAGGAGTTTTGGATCCCTAGCAGTGACATCGTGCATTTCTACAACATCGGGTCGACCTACGAGTTGCTTCAATTCCGCGACACTCAAACGCGTTAGCCTTTTCAATTTTCTCTTGGAGAGACGAGGAGCACCATTCTCCCCAGTTCCCTGTTGTTGCTGCGGTTGATTTACATCGTCGTCGAAATCATCCAAAGGTGGTACTTTACTGGGTACAGTTCCAGTGGTTTGTAAGTTTGTTACAGGTGGATACTGTCCTATTGGCTCACCTTTGTCTGCTTCAGTAGACTTCGGTTCAGGTTCGGTTAATTTAAATGCTTCAAAGATTCTGGCAAATTGACGGTACATTGGCTCCAAATCATTGATACTCGGAATCTCTTGAATGTATTCAATTTCAGGTAAGCTTTCTTTGGGTTTTGAATTTTCTATGTCGTCCTTTTTATTCTCTGCTTCTTTGCCCATATTGTGCTTCTTCCTTTTTTTCTTCTTCTTTTTTTTAGTTTTATTTGACTTCATGTCTGTTTTCTCCATTGTTGCCTCAGGTTCAATTATCACATCATCTAATTGTGATGCGTCTTCCCCTATAGTTTCGTGATTAGATGTTTTTTCTAAAGGAACTATATCATTAGGATCTGCCCCTACCTCCTTTGCTCTCTCAGTTTTGAAAGCCAAAGCTTGTTCTAAAGCTGCTGGTAATTTCATTGAGTCACCATCTGTTTCTCTTCCACCGTCGTCTGTTGAATTTTGATTTTGTAATTCACTTGGTGGACTTACTTTCAAGCTCAGTAAACTAGGCAACATTTTAGCAGGTTCCATTCCTGGAACTCCGTGATTACTGTTTGAAGGCATGCTCATCATTGAGGGCATCTGATGGGGCATTTGTTGATTCTGCATTTAATATTGACATAAAAATTGCAGGATATAAAAAACTGAATTTAACATTGATATGTGAATCCGTAATTTAAAGAAATAATATTATTCACAAACTTCATTCACAATTAATTTAGAGAAGATAAATATAAATGACATTACTTGAAATCGTTAGATGAACATAAAACTAACCTCACTTCCTGGTATATTCTCCATAGTAAATTCGTTTATTTCTTAATTACAATGCTTGTAATGTTTGAACACCTAGACGTCGAAATCGTAATTTAATATAAATTTCTTATCAGAAGAAATTTCGTCTGCTTCAGTTACATTTAAACAGTACACTATGGAAAATACACGAAACGCTTTCTTCCCTGCGTCACAAGCGTCAGAATAAACACATAACGTGAACTGTGATAGAGTATGAACCTCATTGTTAGAAAAAGATAAGGGCTTTACATGAATCACTTAAGCCTACATTCATGAACAGTCGGTAACGTCAAGCTCTAGACGTTACTAGTCAAGATCTAGACAAAAACTCTGATGACATACAACGTCTATAGAGATCTGCAGTCTATGGTCTAGTCTTAAATTTACAACATTAGTGCTACTCGAGTGTTCACGAGAGACAGTCGAGCAATTGCATTCATCGGTTTAGTTGTAATTTAATAAAATTTAAAGCGTTGCTTTAATAATTCTAGCGAAATGGTAAGAATACATTGCAAACACTCTTTTCAATTGCTATGTTTGGATTGCGTTACATATTTACACAGTTACATCAGAACGTATAAATATAAATCCTCGAAGTTTAAAAATTTTCCATTAAAAATAAAGTATAGTCAATTCTTTTATAATTAGTTCATTCGTTTCGTATTGCATTGAAAGCATGTTCTTAATTCCAAGCTGAACACGTTGAATTCCCTGTTTATTTGAATCAAAATAGTATGATGATTCGTGTTATAAGAATATACTATTGTAGCAGAGTTGTTGCAATTTTTGCATCATGTTATTTTGAAACTGCGTTATAAGAACGTTATTATTATTTTTTAAATGTTATTCTTCATTAATAAAACTAACTTGAACACAATTTCATTGTTGATATACTTAATAATTTTAATGGTTTTATGGTTATAGAAACATATTATTTCTTATATGATTAAAATTCTTCTTTAACTATGTACTCCTTAAGTTGAAAAAACAATAATATCTAGAACATCTCTTTTTAGCTTTTGATTTTAATTATTTTTCTTTTTTGTTTTTAGTCTAGTACACTTATTGTAGCAGGGCTTGGCCTTGCTGCATTAGGTTTTACTGGACGTTATGTCTTGAAAAGGATGCCAGCTTTGTCAAAAACAATGTCAGAGGCTGTTAAAAATATGTCAGCATTGGATTCACAGGTAAATAACTTGAAATAAAAAATTGATTGTATCTGTATTACAATTTTAACTAAATATACATCTGCAGAAATTAGCAAATAGCAAATACTACAAAGGAGGCTTTGAAGCAAAAATGACTCGCAGAGAAGCCAGTTTAATATTAGGTGTATCTCCAACTGCAAACAAAGCAAAAGTAAAAGAGCGCTTTAAAAAAGTCATGGCTGTAAATCATCCCGATAGAGGTGGATCCGCTTATATAGCAGCAAAAGTTAATGAAGCAAAAGATTTGTTAGAAAAATGACCTATGTGTGCATAGTAATGTAAAGAATTAGGTATAACAGTTTACATCTATATATGTAAATTTAATTCTAATGTTAGATTTACTAAAACAAATTTTTCTGTATATATCTATTTAACACAAATAAATCTTATATTTTGTGTAACTTAGAATAAAGTTGTTTGTAAATAGATACATTGCTGGTGGGTTTAATGTTAATACTAGCTAATTGAGCTAAGAGTTACTGTACTTAAGATACTTAATACATGATATTAATATAATCAGTACGCATATATTACAATCTTATGGAACATATAATGAAACTAGTACCTAAATTTCGTATTCTCTCTTTTTAAAAAATAATGAATGTATAAAGAATCATATAAATAAAAATATATGAACATCATCGGTATATTGTCTTATCTTCATGCTAAATTCATATGTACAGGAACAATGTAGAATAATATTATAATACAATCTTACACGGCATAATCAGTTTGTTGTTACGAGGGAAATTGACTAGATTATTTTGCCAAACTGAATCTCGTTAACTAATATTATCGTCCTACTTTACTTTCTTTTTGTTCCATACGCTCCCGCGTAATTTTTGTTCGTAGCTTTATAACCATACTCCCAGGCAGTGATCCAGGTACTTTAAATATGCTCTAAGATAAAAAAAAAAGTCATTGGTACTATTACTTATTATTTACTTACAAGTATTAAACAGATAAATAATTATATTTACCTGCATAAATTCGTGACACTTTAAAACAATACTGTCCTTTGTGATCTCTTTAAAACATTCTGCTAATGTTGTAAAATTTTGGCATGCAAGCAAATTGCATTTGTTTCTTTTTATAAGAGTTAATGCAACTCGAAATATAATTTTACTGCCTTCATAAAAAAGACAGTCCCATATGCGCAGCGTAGTCTGCCAAGTTGTAAATACTTTTATTCACTACTTCTATAGTTTATGACAATCCAAACAGGAATTCAATTATTAATATCAAACATTAAATTAACAAACAAATTGTTGAACATCTACATATACCGTATATAAAATCTTTAGAAAAAACAAAGCATTAAAATTATATTAATTTAAGAAATATACATGATTAATTTTACCTCGATTGGTAAGACCTCTGCAAATAAACAAACAAACCATTTTGTTGTTATAACAGCCCAAGGTAAACCCATATTTGTAACATGCTGATGAATATCTGGCATTTTTATCCTAAATGAATATTAATAATATATATGTAAACGATTTATAAGTTGCCAACGAAAATTAAAGAACTCCTTACTTGACTAATTCTGCAAGAACATCTATATCTGTTAGGAGTCCATCCATGGTTGAGGTATAATAATCAGGTAGAATTTTTTCAATTAAAATTTTTAGCAACCAAAAAGCTGTTTCTTCATTTTTTGTTACAAGTAATAATAATCCTGCTATATAATTTAGACCCTAAAAGAAGAGTCAAATAATTCACATTTCATTTTCACCTTTGTAAACTAATTTATAGTAATGTAAACTTGTGTACACATCAGGTCCAAGTGTAATCATTTTTAAAAGACTTACTTGACAGTATCCTACAGTCTTATTTTGATGAGCAAAAGCTAATAAAATATTATATAATTGATGTTGTTGATTCTCCGTGTTATTAAAGAATATATTGTCAGGAAATGTTCTTGGTAGGTCAGTTTTTATAATATCTGCGATCTCTTTATTATGTGGAGACTGCAATAGTTTTTCATAGAGATTCGGGGATGCATTTTTCATATCTTCTCCTCCACTCACAGAAAGCCACACCTTCAAGCATTAATTTATTTAATTACTTTGAGGAAATCAAATTATTTAGAATATTCTTCATACTTACCAAACCTCTATGTTCACTAGGTATACCTTTACGAACATATCTTTTTACCGTAATACTGCGTTGTAATGATTTTCCTTCACCAATAATTTCAGCCCATTTCTTTGCTCGTTTAGCAAGTACTTTGAGGTATTCCGACATAAAATCTTCATAAGTTTCATAGTCAAAGTCATGAGGTCTTTCAAAGCCATACTCGTCAACATTACTATACAACAAATTATAAAATGAAATTGTTACTAAATTTTTTTAGAAATCCCCATTAAAACTTTCTATATAAAAATGTAAAAAAAGAGATGACTGATAATGGCGTTATTTAAATTAAAATTACTTAATGCTAAATTCGGTATTTAAATGCGAAATATTTGGTCGAGTTCAAGTATTAACTGTTCATTTCAGTTAGCGACTAAAAATTGTATATATGAAAACATAACCTTATTTAAATCAGAACAAAAGCAGGAAGAGACATATCTACAATTTATGCAAATCATCCATACTATTCAGATCTTTTCTATATGTTTACGAAACAAACAGAAAGTTATTATATTATTACAAAATAATGCGAAGTTTGTAATGCTCACCTAAAACATGAACTTGCCATACCACTAATACGATGCTGACATATAATTTCTGCTGTATATAGGGTATTCAACAAACCTTTCTCGATATTAATATTAAAGTGCATAATCATTATTAAATTTTATTGGATAATATTGTTTGCTTCTATTTAAATATATAATTACTTGTTACGTTTTCGACCTTTAAAAACAAAGAAAATTGTTGTTTTATACTCAGAATAATTTAAGGAAAAAATAATTAAAAGCTTTTTATGAAATAAATCAATGTTTACGAAATGTGTTCTTAATGTTTAATAATACCATATTTAGAAATATATTTTAACATAATCAAGAAAGAAAAATTAAAACGCCTAAAGAAAAGATTGAGTTAAAGCAGAATTGAACACAGGATACTTAAATAGATAGTTCTCAACGTGCTGTTGCGCTGATATTGATGATTTTAATATTTGATGATTCATGATTTCTACAAATAAGTTACATTCTAAACGTAAACATTGATAATCTTCCATTTTAAATTATTTATTAATAATAGAGTATCGCTTTATGCTTGGAAAGTCATTTACAGTTCTGGTATACACAGTTATCCATGTATGAAAATGAACGAAGTTAACGAAATTTTTATATTAAGTTTTCCTTGGAAACATTTTTTATCTTTTATTAAAAAAGTATTGTACACACGTTTTATCTCATGTTGCGTTTACGTATCTATTTAGTGCGAAATATTGCGTTAGTGACACATCACTGTACTAGGATGAACAACTATCAACGGATGATTGCAAAATGTTAAATAATTACAAGATAAATTTATTACGTAAAATATGCTAGCGAGGAAAAATATCAATTTCAAAAAACTTGATACAATGGATTTTTCGTAATCGAAAAAAACTAGATCATATCAGTGTTACCAAATAAGAAATTAGCAGAAATTGCAGTCGCGTATCAATTTTTGACAGAAATTTGAACACATTTATTGACGTAATAATAATGAAATGATATTCTACGTGATGTCAGTGCATTTAATTGATTTTAATTGTTTCGTTTGCACCTTATGAAATGACTGTAAGCGGTACATTAAAAAAATCTCAGTATTTATTATATTATAAGGATAAATGTCATAGAGTTTTATAGATATATTTATATGTACGGTCCTGAACGCACGTGCTTCTTACATACGATGTTGGCGACGCATGTGCAAGAAATCCTTTTCGAGGAACAAATTCCTCAATCTGGCAAGAGTGGTCGATACTCGATATTACGGTACCACATGGTAACGGAGCTGAAATGGCGTTAACTGTTCCTTGTGTCGCTGGTAAGCATTTACACATTATTTCCTTACGTATTTTTCCCAATTGAAAACTGAATTTGATCTAGTATTTTTCCTCTGAGTCATATACAGTTATATTAAACATCTGTCTATTTATAAAGCGGTAGCAAATTTTATCATATGCAACTGCACAAAAATATGTCATGTGGCATTTTGTTACTGAAAGATACATTTGTAACAAAATAAATAAGTAAATAAATAAATATATTAATTAATTAATTAATTTATTTATTTATATACGCAGCATAGAACACACACGTATGCATCTGTACACACATATGCATATATGATATTTATGTGTATATACATATCATACACACATGCACACATCTATATGTACGTTCCATGTAACATGTTATAACATTATGAATATGAACCAGTGTGCATTGTCATGATGTACACTCTTATATGTTCAATTCGACAATGTTGCATTATTTTCTTAAGTGATCTGTGATCTTTTTAAATTTGTTTGTGGTTAGAGTAGTTCTGTACTTTTATTTTAGTCATTTTGTAAAGTACAATGAACGTAACACATTTTTATCTGTAACATTTGAATTTCAATTTCACGCGTATTCGTGTAAGCAACACGATACATTCTGTTATAAAATTTGTTGCTGAAAATTACAGAATTATTGTTTTTTAGTGAGAGGTTCCATTGGAGTCAGCTTAGGACAAGGCCCACCGTCATATGAGCCAGTTAAATCATTTCCTAAAGATGACAGTAAAACGTGCAGAGCAATGGTGTTTAGTCCGGATGGACGTTACTTTGCATGGGTCAATGGAGCAACCACTAAAATTGTGGAATGTAGTACATGGCAAATTATTACAGAAATTAAAAGACCTAAAATCTTTTCAATAAAGTTTTCCAGTCAAGGCACATATTTTATGACCTGGGAACCATTCATTGGTATTTTATTCAGTATTATTCTACTGACCATTATTTTTGTTTTTCATATCCATAATCGTAATACAATGTATTCTTACTACTTTTGTCACAGTGACACAATCAAATCCTTCTGCATCACCAAATCTTCATATATGGAAGTCAGACAATGGGGAACTGGTGAAGAGTTGTGTACAGAAGAGACAAACAGACTGGTAATGTATTGTTTACATAGTTAATGTATTAATCTTCAGTTAGAAAATATTTTTTAATTCCTTATGGATATTAAAAATAGAAAGAACTTGTACTAATATGATACTTAAAAAAAAATTATATTATAATTATATAATAATAATTATCAATATATTTCTATAAGAATATTACAATATATTGGGTGAATCGGTTACAATATCTGAATTACATATATTAATATATTTATTTAGGGAACCCCAATGGTCAAGTGATGAGAAAATTTGTGGGATGTTGAATGGTGCAGAAGTTGTTCTGTACGAGGATGCCAACTTTCAAAAAGTTGCTCATAAAATAAAAGGAGCAAAAATTGCTAGTTTTAGTATATCACCCACTTGTTCTCCATATTATATTCTCTGTTACATGCCTGGTAATTATTCTATAATTTTGTTGCATTTATTTAATATTAAATTTTTAATACAGTCATCTGATATCAAGGTACCTATATGTGGAGAGTACATGATTTTTTCGCACTGTCACTTAACAGATATTGTAACAAATTTTAGGAAATTAAATGTAATAGAAATAAAAGGATGTGGTATTCATAATTAATAACTAGATTTCGTTAATGGATCTATATAAACTATGAAATGTTTAATAGTAGTTCAAGTGTAGCTGAGGAAAAAATTGGCATATTTTATGAAGTACTTTTTTATTTCAGTTTCTCTCATTATGAAGCAAATATGCATGGCAAGCATGTAATACACAGGTGGAATGAAGATTATAAGATAATTATATCTGTAGAACACTTTGATATTGTAAAGAAGTACAATTGAATATTAATGCATAATGGTATTTTGTGGTATAGACAAATATGAATATATAATCAGGATCGACAGTAATGGGAAATTTTCCTGATTATTGCATGTACAATTTTATGTGTAAGTACATAAATGAAATTATAGGGAATAAAGAAAAGTATGTAATAGGTAATTATAAATGGATTATATTTAGAAAAGTAAAAAGAACTTGGCATTTTTAACTTTAAATTAGTACAATGTATAACTTTTGTGCTTCATTTTTATATAAAATGATGTAAAAATAAGTACTCTCCACATTAAATACCAAATGTTTAAATTGTATATATTATTCGCTTAACTGTAAACATCAAATGCAGTTTGTAATTTATGCTATTTGAATCATAGGAAGATCCGATCAGCCTTCGTTCGGAAAATTATTCCAATATCCTAATTTTGAATCTACAAGTGCTATAGCAGATAAAAGTTTTTTCCAGGTATGATCTTCTACTTATACGATATTCATAGATTTATTTTCAGAAGATCATGTAACTTCTTTTTACAGGCAGACAAAGTGAACATTTATTGGAATAATACTGGAGCGCACGCCTTATTATTGACAAGTACAGAGGTTGATAAGACAGGTGCTTCGTACTATGGAAAACAAACTTTACATTATCTTAGTACAAAGGGGGAAACTGCTATGCTAGTATTTAGTTAGTAATGTACTTATTATAATTATGCGTAAACCAATAAGTTTCTTCATACGTATAACTAATACGTTTTTATCGTACTTTTACTTAGATCAGGAAGGTCCTATACACGCGGTTCAATGGTCTCCAAAAAAAAATGAGTTCTGCGTTATATATGGTTTCATGCCGGCTAAAGCTACGTTATTTAACCTCAAGTGCGAACCAATATTTGAGTTTGGCACACTGCATCGAAATAGCATTTACTACAGTCCTCATGGAAATAATATCCTTTTTTACGTTAGACTATTTACTGTCATGTATTCTCTTATAAGATCTTTGTATGTATCGAATATTTCATTTCCTTAACCAACATGCACTTCTTATATTGACTGGGTTTGGTAATCTGCGTGGTCACATCGAGTTGTGGGATGTTGATACAAAGAAATTAATTGCCAAAGCAGAAGCTCCTGATACAACGCTCCTTCAATGGTCTCCGGATGGAGAACACTTTATGACAGCGACCACAGCACCCAGACTCCGTATGGGTAACGGGTAAGCGACATCGCGATGAAAGAAATACACCATTATTCTTTTTTCTAAGCAGATTAATCGAAAATTAATATTTACTTGTAGATTTAAAATTTGGCACTACACCGGAACATTATTGTACGAGCGACCGTGGAACGAACAAGAGGAACTGTGGGAAGTACTTTGGCAAACGTTCCCGGTGAGCACATTTCCGGAGAAAGTAATTAGTTATAAAGCTGTTGAAGGTATTGCTCCTAGCCAACCACAAGGTAAAGATATTTCATGATCTTTTACTTGGTAAATATACACAGTTGATGTATTTAAATGTACATTAGAATATAATTAACAAATGATTTGCTTAAAGCATCGAAGCAAGCGTATCGACCACCTACAGCGCGAGGAGAAAGTTTACCTTTCAAAATACCAAAGTGTCCGTACGGGAAGAAGAAAAAATCTGGTAATGGGACATTCTCGTGAGAATCTGTTCATAAAATACGGGTTTTGTACGGAAACAACTGCACAACCATGATATTTGCTTTCAGGAAATAAAACGAAGAAGGATAAGAAGGAGTCGGAAGCCTCTGCGTCTAATAACCCAAGTACAAACGGACAAGTTACTACAAGCACAAACAGTCAGAGTTTAACTTCGACAAATGTTCCTCAGTGCGACGAATTGGAGAAAAGTAAAAAGATTAAGAGGATTAAAGCGGTAAGAATTTGTACAGTACACGTTTCAGCGGTGGATGTTGTAATTATTTATTCAGCGATCTTAATTTTTCTATATTCCGTTTGTTATAGAAATTAGATCAAATTGCGAAGTTAAAGAAACAGTTAGAGGGTGGAAAGCAATTAGAAATCAATCAATTGGACAAGATCAAGAAGGAAGCTGATTTGTTGAAAGAAATTGAAGAGCTTGCTTTATGATGAACATTTCAAATCGCACATATGCATGGTTGAAAAAAAAATCCGAATATTTCTCTTGAAAAATGGAAAATGATCTCGGTCCATCGTTTATGATAACACACGTACAGGAGTTACGTTTAGGTGAAGATACAAATTTTCATTCTGCGAAGAGGCAGTGGGAACAAAACGGATTGCAATGGATTGAAACGTGTTTCCACATTATTAAGCTCGTTAAAATTTAAGACATGATCACAAATACCGTTTGCGTGTGATCTTAAACAAAAAAAGAATACAAATGGTCCATCACGCCTCTTCCCGCATAGTTAAAAAAAGAAATCATTTCCTTTTTCTCAAGACACTTCCATTTTAAATAACATTTTTTAAAAAACAAATATCGGAGGATAATGATGTTAAGTCAGTTGACGATTACTAAGCTTTTTCCATGTCATGCGACCTTGAAGCAAGATCGAGTGTAAAAGTGAACCATTTAATACAAAATATTCACGGTTGCATGGGTATGCGTGAGATGGAAAAGCAACATAATTGTAAAATTTAAATATACAGAAAAATTTGTTCCTGAAGGCAGGTGCTAGAATTTCAATTACATTAATAAATTGTTATGTATTATTATTATATTTTTTTTCATACAATAATCTACATTTATAAAACTGGAAAATAGACATATCATTATTGGACTTTCAATTGTTACTAGAATCAAGCACCTTACGTTGTTTCCTGCAGGAACATGTTTGGTTTTGTACACGATATTTTTATTTCTATGCTTTGCATTGTGTCTAGGATTCAAATTTTTATACTTTTCTTGCTATTAATCATTATAAGACTGGTCAGACGAAATAGGATTACATGGTACAGTTTAATAAATAAGCGAAGAAACTACAACAAAAGGAAAAGAAACAATGATTAAACTTTGTTTCACGAGCAGTGAAACATTTTTAAACAATAAAGGAAATTTAGCTTTTTGAATTAGTTGATTTTTTAAGCACCACTGTTTTAAACAACGTTCGATGTTACCTTTACTCGTTATTCAGTTTGATTGTAACTTTAATTGCAATTTTTGTTATATTATCGAATATTGTTTTCGTTTTATATATAATTGCTGTCAACGGGATCTCCGTGTTCCTTAACTTTTTTCGACGCGCTAATTAAACGTTTATGCGACTATTTTCATTTAAAAAAAAGAATACAACGTTCATCCAAGCTGGAATTTTGCAATTTTGGAATATTATATCATTTCAAAAAATACATTGAAT